AATACACCCATTTTAAACCCTTCGTCTAATGGTAGGACGTTAACCTTTCACGTTAAGAATATGAGTTCGATTCTCATAGGGTTCAATAAAACACCTATAACTCAGTTGGTTAGAGTGCACGCTTGATAAGCGTGAAGTCGATAGTTCGAGTCTATCTAGGTTCACATAAATGGATATGCTGAAATGGTAGACAGGCTGATTTTAGAAATCAGTGGGTAATTCCGTATGGGTTCGAGTCCCATTATCCCCAAATCGTATTTAACTTAAGCGAGCACAAAGTAAAAAATTGATTATAAATACAAATAAGTAATTATATAAAAATTAAAGGGTAAATAACGAATATCTTATAGCATAAAAGTTTCTGGCGCCTAATCGAGCGAAATATACAATGAGTCGAAAAATTACTTAGAATTGTAAATTCCAGCAGAGAAATCTAACATTTAAATATTGTTCTTACCTAATTAAGTGAAACATCTCAATAGTTAGAGGAAAGGAAAATAATTAAAGATTTTGTTAGTAATGGTGAGTGAAAACAAAATAGCCAAAATTTGAATTTAAGGAAATAGAAGTCTTATATGATTTAAGCGCCATAGAAGGTGAAAGCCCTTTATAATTTCTTATTTTTAATATATATAATAATGAGTAAAATAAAATCTGTGAAATTTTATTGGAAAAAGGCAAACCCATTTGCTAAGGCTAAATACACTTTTATGACTAATAGTGAACAAGTACTGTGAAGGAAAGATGAAAAGACAAAGTTAAAAGATCTTGAAATTGTTTACCTTAAGGATCTAGAGCGCAGCGAATGTGTTATAGGGTGCAGCGAATGTGTTATAGGGTGGCCTTGGAGATTTCTGCTTTCCACAATTGGTCAGGAGTTTTCCGTCTTCGCCAACACGTGTTTCTCATGCAGTTACTGGGACGGGTTGGATCAGCTGAACAAAATGCATTGCAGCAATCGACCAATGGTGGAGATGAAGCAACAGCAATTAAATTAGAGCAGGAGTTGGCGTTGGGATCGTTTTACCATCAAACAATTGCCCCATCCACCATGTGGCTGTGTAAAGTTGCATCGCTTTTGCTGCTGGGGTTGATGGTCGTGGCTTGCCTGTGGTCCACCGGTGACGCTGTGGTACAGGTCGCTCGGCGGAGCGACGTTTGTGGGCACCGTTGGGTTCAACATGCACTTTCACTACTCAAACATAGCTACAACGAGGGCTATGAAAGGTTCAAGGCGCTCTTCCTCGCCCTCGGTGCTCGCCACATCCGCGACAGCCTCCTCGACACAAGTACCCACCAACCTCTTCACCCCCTAACTGTTGTGGTTGTGGCTTGTTTGGGTGTTGCCTTACTGGCGCTGCATCAACAGCTTGGAAAACGTACTACGATCGCCCGAACGAGATGGGGAGAGCCGGAGTGAAGAGCCAGCAGCTCGTAGACTACGATGTCCCTGCAGAACAGATCACCTCCCTGCCCTTGCGCGTGCTCGACTCGATGGAGCGCTACGAGGGACCCAACGAACTTGACATTCGTCGCAATTTTGAGGGAGACTGGGCCACCACCCTGCAAAACTTCACCAAAGTCCTTTGGAACGTACCTACCCCTCGCCTTCGTTCTTCTGTAAGTAGTCGCTTTCGCTCTTTCGCTATCGGAGCTAAAACCGGTGGGTGACCGGGGCAGGCGCACAACAACTCCTACCCGGTGGTCGGGCCCTCGCTGACCAGCGAGGCGGCCTACACGAAGCTGGGCGACATGAGCCAGTACGTCGACTTCGGAAACATGCACAATTACTTCAGCGGACGTCACCCGGGCACCAAGGGCTGGGGAGGTCCGAGCGCCGCAGGCTATTGCTGCTACGGCAGCATCGGCTTCAACATGAACGTCACGGCCCTCTCGAGCGGCGACAAGCCCATCGTGTCGTCGGAGACAAAATCGGTTACACCACCGGCTCCCCGCGGCCGTTGAAGAGCGGCCAGATCCCGTTCGACGTACAGACCAAGTATGAGCTGCGCATGTTCGCCATGCAGTTCATCCGGGGCGTCGAGCGCACGCTCCACTACGAGTTCTGCGACTTCGCTGACGACCCGGGCATGTACGGCATCGTTGCGGTCGACCCCGAGGATCCCTCCAAGCTCAAGCCGGCCTACCACGCTCTCTACAACCTCATCCGCCTTCTGGCCGACCCCGGCCCCGCCTTCACTTTTTTTTTTCCTGTCAGTCAAGCCGGGCGTCGAGCGCACGCTCCACTACGAGTTCTGCGACTTCGCTGACGACCCGGGCATGTACGGCATCGTTGCGGTCGACCCCGAGGATCCCTCCAAGCCCAAGCCGGCTTCACTCCCACTTCCCTGTCAGTCAAGCCGGGGCGTCGAGCGCACGCTCCACTACGAGTTCTGCGACTTCGCTGACGACCCGGGCTGCGCATGTTCGCCATGCAGTTCATCCGGGGCGTCGAGCGCACGCTCCACTACGAGTTCTGCGACTTCGCTGACGACCCGGGCATGTACGGCATCGTTGCGGTCGACCCCGAGGATCCCTCCAAGCCCAAGCCGGCCTACCACGCTCTCTACAACCTCATCCGCCTTCTGGCCGACCCCGGCCCCGCCTTCACTCCCACTTCCCTGTCATACGGTCAGCCCAGATCTCCTCCCCCCCATAATCTCCCCGCGATCTCATCATCACTCATGTATGTGTGTGTGCGTGTGTGCGTGTGGTGACACAGAGGTGGCCGGAGCTCCTTCGTCGTTCCAGAGTTTGATTCTCCAGCGACGCGAGGGCACGTTTATGGTGCTGCTGTGGCTCGAGGAGGCCACTTGGCTGCTCCCAGCCAACATCTCGGGCGTGTACGCCAACGTCACGTCAGCCGACGTCGCTGTCCTTCTGCCGGGCGGGCGCAACGCGTTCAGCGCCTCGGCCACAGTCTACAGGTTCAACCCGTCGCCGGGCTGCATGACCGCCACAGCCACCCGCCTGACCGCCGCCAACTCTAGCGCCACTGACCTCGTCACCCCGTCGCTCCAAGTAGACGACTCGATCCTCGTCCTCCAGCTGAACCCGACTACCAGCTCCGCCGGCGCCGTCTACAAACCGGCCGCCGACGCCAAACTCTGTCCGTCCGACGAACTCCCCTCCACCGCGTCACGGCTCGCCTCGCCTTACGTGAAGTCGCTCATCTTTTACTGGTAAACGGAGAGCTAATGAACTGAGTTGTTTGTGTTTTGTTTCTTGTTTCTTGTTTCTTGTTTTTTTTTCAAACCTGGGAGGAGAGGCCGGTGGTGCCGCCCGTGCAGTTGCCGCAGTCGTCAAGCGTAGCCAGGCCGTCCTCCACTCCGGCGCAGTCCACGTAGCACGCCGAGCCGTCGCCGCCGCACACGCCGCACGCGTCCGGCTCATAGCAGGAGGGTTCGACGATGAGCGCGCCGTGTACAGCCGGGTGGCGAGCGTCGTGCCACAGGTGCAAGTGAGGTAGGGTCGTGGTGATGCGCGCCAGCGTCGGCGTGAGGAGCGAGCGGGCGCTCGTGGTCGCCGATGCTGCATAAAGGCGCGCCCGCGCTCCTGTTCTCGCGTTTGGGTTTCTAGGTGAGGCAGATGCAAATGCAACCACACCCAAAGGTTGGTGGCGTTACGCTGGCGGTCGAGCAGGCGACGGTGGCGACACTCGCGGTCGCGGTCGCTTACACGCACGACGAGAGCATGAGGCGACGCTGGCGCGGGGCCGAGCCAGTCTAGTGTCGGTGCGTTACGCTGGCGTCGAGTAGGCTGTGGTGTAGACACTCACTTCTTCATGAAGAAATGATTGAGAATAAAGAAAATCAAACACATAACTAGAAAAACTGGTAGTGTGAGTGAAGGGAGACTGTACCTGCACTTGCGGCACTCCTGCGTTGTATGCTTGCATGCCAAATGTCCGAAGTGGCCACAAGGGCGCGATTTTTCTAAGCACCGGTCGAATAATAAATGAATTTAAATTTGGTTTTTCCCGCCTTTTTTTGCGAAGGAGAGTTGGACTTGCGTTCATTTTTCAAATTATTGTGTATTCTTCAAATTTCATCCACTACCGCAGGGTCTCCTTCGACCGAATACACAATAATTTGAAAAATGAACGCAAGCCCAACTCTCCTTCCACATTCTTTGAGCACCGGGCCGCTTTATTGGTTATCTGATGTTTAATTAAAAAAATGGAGGAATTTTGCACAAGCTTGCCGATTTTTCCTTTTCCCCTGTTTACTCATGGCTCTGGCACTTACTCCCAGAGTACATTCCAGGTGCGGGTGGTGCAGTCCTGACCAACAGAAGCAAGGGTCGACTGGTCGAGCCAAGTGAGGTCATTCACGCCACCGTGGTGGGCAGCGGTGATGGTGAGCCGCTTGTTGGGCGTCTGCGCGGGCAGAGAGGGATAACCATTAGCGCCATTGAGCAAATGCCATCATAACTGCCTGTTGACCTCTCGTAAACTAGAGGAGAGAAGTAAGGGTTAACGTACCTCAACACTCCAGATGATGATGTTGGTGTCGAGCGAAGCTGAGGCGAGGAACTTGGAGTCAGGGCTCCAGACGAGCTTGTTGATCCTGGCGGAGTGGTACTGCCAGTCCTTGATGGCAATCTTGCCCTCCTGCCAGATGAGAATCTCCCTGTTCTTGTCGCCCGAGGCCAGGTAGCGGCCATCTGGCGAGAAGGCGAGAGCCGACACGCCGGCGCGGTGGCCTTCGAGCGTCTTCTCGTTCGCGAGAGTGTCGCCGGAGATGTCATACACGTAGATGCGGTTGTTGTCGGCGCCCACCGCCACTTGGCGGCCATCAGCTGAGAACGCAAAGGACAGCGGAGTCCATCCGACGGCCTTGGACGACACGATGCGCCCACCACGGATGACGTGGACCTGGAGGGCCAGAAAAAAAAACATCAGTGATGGGGAACCACGCCTCAAGAGAACACACACGTTTTCGGGCTCAATGACGACAACTTTACCTTTTGGTCAAAGGTGCCGGTGACGATGAGGCCAGGTTCAGTGGGTGAAACGGCCAGGCCGAAGGGCTTACCGCCCACCGAGGTGGTCTGGCCACTGGTGGTGTGTTCGCGTGCGCACAACAGGAAGAGAATGGTGCGTAAGAACTTCAGCGAGGCAAACATTGAGACGAGCTGCGCGCAGAAGAGGCGCGGCATACGTGAAGTCGGCGCCATGGGGAGTGACCCGAACGGAGTCGTCGATGGCAGCACTGACCAGGTTATCGCCCTGAATGGCCAGCGCGATGACGGAGTTCTTGTGGCCGTCGCCGGCCACCTCTTCCATGCTGCCGTCGGTTTCGTTCCACCTGGTCACCACGGCATCGTAGGAGCCCGTGTACAGCGAGTTGGACGGCTTGTGGTAGGCCAGCGACTCGATCGACTTGTTGTGGCCCTTGATGACCCTGATGGGCTCGTTGGGCCGGCTGGGGTCGAGGTAGGAGAGGTGGCCTCGCAGGTTGAGCGAGAGGAGGTGGTTGCCCTGCCACAAACAGCCCACCTGCTGGTCCTCCACAGCGCTGCCGAACGTGAACGTGCTGTTGTTTCCAGTATCAAAAAAAAATATGCAGTGTGTTTAGTCAAAAGAGAGAAGCAAGGTCGCGAAAAGTTTGGGCCAACGTGGAGGAATGAGAGATTCGGGAGGTAACCGTACGTGACAGACTTGCCGGTCTCAACGTCCCAGATCTTGCAGGTCTTATCGCCTGAAGAGGTGAGCACCTGAGAGCCGTCCGGGGACCACGAGACGCAGTAAATACCGCCCGTGTGCTCGGTCGTGAAGGCGCCCTGCACGTGCAATGGGGCGTGAGAAAGAGAGACGCGAGAAAAAGAGAGATGCAACAAGCACACTCTAAAAAAAAAAAAAACGACGCGGAGGACCATCGAACGTGGCACGCGAACCTTCTTTTCCCCGGTCTGGCCGTCGAAAAGAACCGCCAGCTTGTCGGAACCGACAGAGATGGCCAGGTCGCCATTGGGGGAGAACCTCACGCAGTTCACGAATCTCTGGTGCTCGTGCATGCCGTGGTGCCACTTGAAGGGAGGACCCTCGAACCTGTGCCACACCACACCATGTTATGAGAGTCTCGAATCAGTTCGCCCCAACCAGGAGGAGTAGAGACGAGTAATCGGATGGCTGGTGTGATGTGTAGGCGCCTACCAGTTGAGAGTCAGATCCTCACCGCCAGTGATGACGCGGAAGGGCGACTTCGGCCGGTAGTCGACGGACTGTGGCGGTCAAAGCGAAAGGTTAGTGGTGGGATCCTCCTAAAGAGCCAAGCTGCCCACGTACGTTGATGGCCTTGGAATGGCCAGTGATGATGCCACGAGACGAGCCGGTTTCCATGTCGAACACTTCGCCGTACTTGTCACGACCGTGGCCCACGGCGACGATCTTGGTGGAATCAGGAGACCAGGCCAAATCGAGCACGGCGCCGGCCAGGGCGGGCTTCTCGGACTTGAGCTTAAAGTAGACGCCCTGTACGACCTCATGCGCGTGCCAAACCCGCACGATACCCCTTTCGTCTGCCGATCACACCAATAAATGCAATATTATTGACAGAACGGAAAAATGAGAATTAGTGTTAGAAGACAAGGCAAGAGTAGTAGAACACACGGCACGACACGGCACTACGAGGGGACAACGCACCAGCGGAGGCAATCCAACGCCTGTCGGGAGAGTAACGAGCCACGGTCGTAGCGCGCGGGTGCTCGACGTACAGGTCGGCGTGGAGAGGGTTCTGCAGAAAAACGAAACCACCACGAGTGGAGTTTAGCCATGCTCATTAACCATCACGATGAGGGCCATTAGAGAAGACACGCGCGCAAGAGAGGAACAGAACATACTTGGATGGAGCGGATGATGACGTCATTGCCCAGGCAGTAGAGGATGTTTTCGCCCTGGGGGTCACCGCCGATCAGCGTGGGCTTGCCACGCTGCGCGGCAGGCAACGGAGCCAGGATGGACTCTGCTCAGCAAGAGCGCGGAAGCACGAGAATAAGAAAAATGTAGATGGGATCAAAATAATTAGGAACAAATAATAATAAATAAAAAGGCCTCCGTGATGCCCAGGGGGTGCGCGTACTCCTGAGCCTTCTGTTGTTCTCGAGAGGTGCGACGATGTCGGCAGCGGCGGCAGCGGCAGACACAGCAGGGGCAGGCGCTCGTGCAAGTGCTTCCTGCGGGGGGGGGGCTTTCAATGAGGGAGGGGAGACGAATTGGGAAGAAATCAAGCTGCAAGAAGGGATTGAGAACCTTGCGGGTAGCCTCCTTGGCCGCCTGTTCCTGGGCTGCCTTCTGCTGCATGGCAGCTTCCCTCTTCTTCTGATTCTCAAGCATGCGCTCCAGTCGGTCCGCCATCTTTTACGTTGTTGTTATTGTCGCGTGCAGAGCTCTGATCACAAGAGAGAGCAGCAAGATGAGAGGGGCAAAGAAGCCGAGGAGCGTGCACGATCGAGAGGCAGAGGCCGTGTAGGTACCTTCGGTGTTGTACCAGTGTTGTTGTTGTGGTTGTGTATTGTGGCCACCGAAGCTTTCCTCTTGCTTTTGAGCAACGCGCCAACCAGGTAAATGAAACTTGGAATCGCTGACGTGTGCCGCCACCTTAGGTGTGCCCCACGTTGTTGAAAGAAACAAGAAGGCCTGCTACTGCAGGACGCACTCTTTCCTGGACTTCTTCTTCCGTTCGTCTACAAAGCCGCCAAAGTCCAGGATGGTGACGGAACCGTCTCGAGCACCATACACAAGTGCGCGCTCATCGCCTTGAAGGCTCCTGTCGCAGCGGTACCAAACAACCCGGGGTGGGATGGAATGAGTTGTGATTATCTTACACACAAGACACACAAGACACACACGACACGACACGACGCGCACACACACACACACACACACACACGGTGTAAGAGCGCGAGCAAGTACCGAGCAGAAGCGGCTGGTAGCTCGAAGAAGGGCTTCGAATGGGTGGGCTGAGATAAACTGGTCTTGCTCAACTCCCAGAACTTAAGCACATTTTCTGACCCCACGGTGACAAGCTTGCTTGCGTCGCTCCTGTAGTTCACGACAACGAACGCCAACGATATTATGTTCTGCAACATTGTGTTCGCAGGTTGAGAGAGTTGCGACGAGCACGTACCAGAGGCCGCAGATGTTGTTGTCACCGTGCGAATAGGTCGTCAACGGATTCAGCCAGAAGTCTTCCTGGCCGGCCTGCGACACCTGACGGAGATCCCACATTTTGACATCTCCAGCACTATCTATCAAACCATACAACATGGAATGTGAACTTCAGTCAGCTACACTCATGCTGTGAGAGGCGAATCTCTTACCTCCCGTCGCTAGCAATCGTCCGTCCAGACGCAATACTTCATTCATGTTGTAGTCCAGCTTGCTGCTTTGGTTGGTCACCAAGAGAATGCACTCGTGCGTGCGCATATCCTGGGAGTCCCTCCCCGCACGTCAGCGCTCACCATCAACTTTTGGCAAAAGTACAACGGGTTGAGATAGAGCGACGGGATCATACCCAACACCGAAAGGTAGAGCCGCTACCGGCAGTGACAAGCAAGTGGTCATCAAAGTTGGCGGCAAGTGTGAACACTCGGCCCTTGTGACCCAGGAATGAGCCTGTACACTGCTTGGTCTGTATGTCCCAGAGCTTGGGCGTGGCGTCGTTTCCTCCGCAAGTCACCACTTGCTAGCAAGACCGAGAGAGCAAGGGTGAGCGGTGCCGGTCAGTCGGTTGAGCCAGGAAAGTAGAGACGACGTACATGTTGATGAAGCTGCAGCTTTTCGATTCCCCTTGAGTGCACACCAGATATCTCATCCAGCGCCTGTCCATCGCGCATGGACCAGATGATCAGCCTGCATCCAGGAATGGAGTGTTAATGCCGCTGCCTCAGTACTCAAACAAACACAACAGCTGTTTACCTCTCATCAATGCCACCGCTCACAATGATTTCGCCGTCGGAATCAGCGGTGAAGACCAGGGAGTTGTGACCCGACAACTCGAGACTGCACTCGATGCTGGGCGATGCTGAGGAAGTGGTCGCGTAGGACTGCCATATCTTGATCTTGTGGTCATCGGACCACGTAATGAGCACCATCGATGACGTCGGTTTCGCATCATCGCTTGCAGCACCTTTCGTTTGGTCCTTCTTGGCTCGTCCCCTCTTGTCTGCGCGTGTGCTCGCCAAGGGCAAAAGTGAGTGTTAAGAGGCCAACACTCAGCCTGCAGGAGAGCAAGAGACACCTTTCGCCACGGGTGCGGGTAACTGGGGTGCGTGATCAGTAGAAAGGAACTTGACCCCGTTGACGGCATGCGGATGAGCCTGGAAGGACGTCTTTTGGTGCTGGCCACGACGCCACCTCTCCTCCAGCCTGGTCTTCCTCTGGAACAGATCGCGACGACCCTGCAGGCCAGCGTCTCTCATGGCCTGCACCGCGAGGTCGGTTATGCTTTCGAGCAAACGATTGCAGTCGCGCGCAAGAGAGCAAAGGAGGGAGGTACGTGGTTCTTGGCGAGTAGGAAGGCGTCCATGAAAGTGGGCGTGACTACGTGGCCGGGAGCTTGCCGGTACCGCTGTTCGTAAAGGACATGCCACAGAGCATCGTGCGTGGCGACCTCGTGCCATACTCTGCTCACCCTCGCCGCTACTCACCCCCCGCCCCGCAGCACGCCTTCAATGACCACAAAAAGGAGTGAGTCCTCGGGTGGTGTGTACCTTGGCCAATGTCGGCAGTGGGCAGCAAACTGAAGATGAACACTGACACCTCCAATGGCAGGTTCGCCACCACGTCAAACCGGCTTTCGGGCACGTTCTCCATCTGCTGCCCAAGCTCTGTCCTCCAGGTTGCGTTGTCAAGGAAAGAGACCTTCAATTTTTGTTCTTTTTACACTATTTGCACTTTTTTTTCCTCGCCTTTTCACGAGAGAAGGCGCATGGAGAGGGAGAGACCGAGCTCCTTGCGGCCGGTGAGGTACTGGCGTTGGCGCTGCGGGCAGATGAAGTAGGGGTCGCCCGCCCCCTGGTTGCCTCGCACGGCCACGCAGGGCATGGCGCACGCGAAGGATCGAGCTTGCACGCGGCACTCGAAGCTGACGGCCAGCCGGAGCACGTCGGTGCCGGGGTCGAGCCGCTGGACGCGCACGGTGATGTAGCCCTCGTAGCCTCGCTTGTCGCTGCCCCACTGCTTGTCGTCCAGCCGGTACGAGCGCTCCAGCACCAGCAGCCACCGCCGGCTGAAGGCCTCGAACGCGCGGTTGATCCGAAACTCCTTCTCCCGCATGTCCACCTGCCCGATGACGAACTCGCAGCTGAAGGCTCCCCCTTTGCCCTGCTGCGGGCTCGTCGACGAGGGCTTCGATCTGGGCGTGGGGGTCGTCGGCGATGGCATCTTTTTGTCGTCGCTCGCGCCCTTGCGGTCCTGTCCCTCGTCCTCCTCCTGCTGCTGCTTCTCCTTCTGGTGGGCTCGCCGCTGCTCCGACGGCGCCGTGACTAGCTTGCCCTCCTTGCCCTTGCCCTCGCACTCCTCGCCCGCCGCCTCCTGTTGCTCCCCGCAATCGGCGTGCGCCCTCGGGTGGAGATCCCGCTTGGTGGCGTGCCACTCGTCGACCAGCGCGAAGATGTCGCGGTAGGAGGAGGACGCCATATCCGCAGAGGGCGAGGCCACGAGCGGCGGCAGCACGTCATCGAGCACGTTGATCCCATGTTCGACGGGCGACGAGATGATCAGATCTTCCTTCTCCATCTCCTTCTCGGTGCCGCCCAGGAGTAGGCTTCGTTCGATGAGCGCCGCGGTGCTCTTCGACGTCGGTGGCACAAGGCTGCGTTGGCACATTAGCTGGGACAGGGATGCGCCCATGCTGGCGCCTATGTTGATGGGCGCCGTGGGCGTGTAGTGTCGCAAAGGAGAACCGCCGCCGCCGCTACCGCTGCCCACCGAGTAGTCCGAGAGAGACCGCCGCATGGACGAGGTCAATGCGCCAGCGGATGTGGGCCCACACGGTATCGCTACTGATACCGAGGTGGATGTGAAGGATGACGAGGCCGTTGCCGTACTCAGGTCAGGCGTGGAGTGCGTAGTCGTCGCGGGCAGCTTGAGGGTTGAGGGCGCTAGCGCCTCGATCGGCGGCAACGGGGATGCCATGGCAGCCGGCGAGGCACCCGATCGCTCTCGTCGCTCGTAGAACAGCACCGACGGCTGCCAGTGCGCTCGGCAGCAGTTGGCGATGACGTCGTCCCATGTCTTGCCCACCACTTTGATCTTTTCGTCGTCGAAGATGAGCCACTGGTCTCGCGATCGGCAGTGGAAGAAAGCGGCGTAGTGACGGCCGTAGTACGCGATCATGCCGCGGAAGACGTAGTTGGTCTCCCTCTCGACGCCGTAGAAGATCGTCGACAGGTCGATCTCGAGCGCGTTGTTGGCGGCGATGATCGTCAGCGTTTGCCGGATCTCCTCCACCGTGGGGGTTGGTGACGCCCACACCAGGTTGATGGTGAACACCTTAGGCACGTTCTGCAAAAATCGCTGGTTTCTGTTCTGTTGCTGACATTCGGTCAAGTCCTACAAAAGTAATAGCAAAACAACAGCTCTGATCAGTCACGCTGTGGATTGTGTCTGCGCAGGCGAGTGGGCAGTGTGGGAAGGGCGCCAAGGCTCCACGTACAAAATCGGGGCACTTTTTGAGCTCGGAGTCGTTGAGGATTGACATAAGCTCATCGAATCGAATGTCACGCCTGTTGGCATCGTCAAAGGCACGCCTGATGACGCACGCACACGCATACGACTCCTGTTAGACTATTATTGGCAGCGAAAGGAAAGGTAATGAACACACACACGCCACTTTTTTTGTTTTGTTTTGTCGGTACCTCAGCTCAGTCACATAAACGGGATAAATAAAAGTAGACGACAGAGCAGGCTCGGAGGTAGCCCCACACGGACACTCCGTCTGTGTAGGAGTGATTAGAGTAGTGTGGTGAGTGAGCGTCCTCTGGCCCCAGTGATCAACAAAGATGCATCGGTTGCCTACCCTGTCGCAGAAGTTCATGGAGAACACCTGATGTACGAGGCACAGCGGTTCGCATGGCTCGTCGTCCTTTTCCCCAACACCCATGAACACGCTATGCAGATACCCTAGCACAGCCACCTGCAGACAATAAGCGCTTAGCGTGAGAGCGTTTGCGAGCTCTCGGTGTGCATGCGTGCACATACAGAGAATCGTCGAGACAGGGAGGCACTGTACCAACGTTTCCGTGGCGTCGTACTGCATTTTTAATGCGTAAAGCGGTGAGAGAAGGGCAGAGTGTGTTAGAGAAGAAGGTCGTGTGTGCACAGATGCAGAAGGTGCCTGATCGCTTACCATTTCTCCGATTTGGAAGCGGGCCTCCCCAGCAAACTGCATAGACAGGGCACGCCTCAGATCGGTGGGCGGGATCATGAACTCATCTGAGTAGGCGTAATTTACAAACATGTCCTGCACCGGCCACACGCGCATGTGTCAGTTCTCCACAAGACACGCACACCGCGTGCGTTATTACGTGTTCGAGTGAGTGCAGCGGTCACTCTACCTGGAGCGCGCAAAACACGCAGTAGGGCGTCGAGTGCTGATGCTTCTCCTCAGTTCCCTCGAACCTTGTCCCTGTGGGTCAAGGGCACGCCGAGACGGAGAAGTGAACAACCATTGGCGCATGGCGGCAGGCAGCAACACAACAAGCGACGCATGACCGGCTGCACGAGCCCAGAAAGTGGCTGGGCAGAAAAAGAAGAGAGAGAGAGAGAGGGAGGGGGTACTGAAGGAATCGAGGTGCCATAGAGATTGGATGACCACGTTGAGGAAGCAGTTGTTTTCGCCCAGCGGGTTGATGAGGCCCTTGAGATTGGTGTTGGGCGAGGGAACGAAAATCTGAGGCGAGAAGTAGCTCGGCTGCGAATTTCCCATTTCGTTTCCCAGCTCGCTTTAACGATGCTCAATCATATATAAAGGATGCGGGCTGTGAAAGATCTGCGCGCAGAAGATCGCGTCGGATCAGCCAACGGCTGGTTGTCGCACAGGTGCACCTCTCTGCTGCTGGCGCCGCTTGCCAACTTCTTCTTGCAGCTGTGTGGTTCCACCAGCCCCACAAGAAATGTGGCGGCATTTGCGGCAGCCAACCAACAGCGAGCACCCACCCATTGCCCAAGGGGTGCACTCTTCCCACCAAGTGTAGCATATAGGCACCAACCCGTGCCAACAACAGCTCTCCGTTGCTCGACGAGTGGCTGTGGCTGTGGCTGTCCGGGGCCTGGTGGTGTTTATTTATTCGTGTTTATTTGTAATTTTATTTCATTTTCATTTCATTTAAAATGCGCAGAGCCACGAGAAGCTTCGCCCTGCGCCCGACGGCGCGGCAGCTGTGGGCTGGTGCGGACTCGCTCACGGCACACCGTGGCTTTGTGAGTGTTGCTAAGCCCGAAACCACTCGTGTGGGTTGGGTGGGCACCGGGTGCCTGCCCCCTCCCCCCCAATACTACTTCACCTTTTGTCGTGGGTGGCACTGACGCCAAGCCTCTTTGCTGGGCCTTTCCCAGAGTCATGGGAGGGCACATGTGCGGACACTTGCTCAGCGCTGGCTATCAAGTCACCCTCTACTCCAGGTCTACTTTCTCGCCCCCCCCCCAACCGTGACCCATTGAGTGACCGAAGGGTTGGGTCAACAGAACTGCAGAGAAGGCGCAGGGGCTTTTGGGACGCGGTGCCAAGCTGGCAGCCAGTCCCAAGGAGGTGGCTCAGCAGTCGGACGTGGTGTTCACCATGGTGGGATTCCCGCATGATGGTACGTACACCTACTTCTCGGGGTGCTTGCTGTTGGAACACACCTGACCGGCGATCGTGAGTGTGTCCGCTACTTGCTCAGTCAGGAGCGTCATTCTGGGCAGTTCTGGCGTGCTGGAGGGACTCTGTAGCGATGGCGTGGTGGTGGACATGACCACCAGCGAGCCCAGTCTGGCACTCGATATCTACAATGAAGCGAAGAAGAAGGGCGTGCACAGCATTGACGCTCCGGTGTCTGGTTCGCTCCCCATTGTGCTGCACAATGACCTCCGTGCGGGATCCCAGGGCTTAGTTTGGTTGCTTTCTCCTTCGCACAAAATGCAGGCGGTGATGTGGGCGCGAAGGAGGCCCGCTTGTCCATCATGGTGGGCGGCGATGAGGAGGCGGTGTCGGCCGTCAAGCCCTTGTTCGATGTCATGGGCAAGAACATCGTCCACCTCGGCCCGGCATCATCTGGTGCGTCCAGCAGTGTGCCAGGTTTAAACCACAGGGCATATGAGCTGACTCTGATCTCACTCCAGGACAACATACGAAGATGGTGAATCAGATCTTGATTGCCACTACCATGGTACGTCGTTCTCAATTAGACTTTGTTACGTTACTGATGGCGGCTGTACTTTCTGTCTGCACATGAAGGTGGGTATGGTGGAGGGCCTGCTGTATGGACACAAAGCAGGGCTGGACCTCAACCAAGTGATTGAGGCTGTGGGCAAAGGCGCTGCTGGGTCCTGGTACGCCCCTGCCCGAACCGAGTCTGATCCAGCTCACATAATGGGGAACACAGGAGTATCAACAACCTGGGGCCTCGCATTGTGAAGCGCAACTTTGATCCCGGCTTCTTTGTTGAACACTTTATCAAGGGTACGTTTGGGGCCTCCTCACCAGCTGCCTCTCAGTCGAATTGCGTCTGCTAAAGCAATGGCCAAAAGACATGGGCATCGCTCTCAAGGAAGCCGAGAGGATGAAGCTGAGCCTGCCAGGTCTTGGCCTCGCCCACCAGCTCTATGTCGCCGTCGCCGCGCAGGTACCTAAACGCACCATCCATACGCGGCTGCCCCCTCTCTCCCACCACGCACGCACACGCACGCGCGCACGGGCACTGAACCTTGTCTGCGCGTAGGGCCACGGCCGTAAGGGAACCCACGCCCTCCAGCTGGCTCTGGAGAAGCTCAACAACATGGATCACGACCACTCTTCACCCAAGTCCGGTCTCCCCAAGGCGCTCTAGGCATCTAGATCCACCGTTTCGACCAGCCACGCGGCCTGCCAAACGAACAGAACACGAACATGTGATGTTGTTGGTTCTCGTTCATTACGGCCAACGTCTTTCGGGTAATGCACTTTGAATTGAAGCGGGCGCCTCGCGGAGACTGCTTTTCATTTTGGCTGCGACGAACAAGCCGCGAAGAGACTAAAAACGAAAACGACGAAGTAGGAGGGAACACGCCAATCTTCGTCCCCCCCATCAACTCCTCGATACTTGAGACTTCCCATCTCGAGGCTTGAGTTCATCAGCCCTCACGACGAGATCTGGACCCTTTCGTCTTCGTTCTTTTCATCGATAAACAAAGATGGCGCTTGCCGTCGTCAGCGGAGAGCAATCCCTGTCCGCTCTTCATCGCATCGCCAAGAGCGGTTCGTGGCCTTGCCTTGCCTTATCTATTTTACGCTCGGCTCGTCATCCATTTACCCCCCCCCCTTCGAATCGACAAAAGCGAATTGATTTGTCAAATGTCGTCAAGACAACAGAAGCAATCACGATTATAGTCGCATTCTCATCCGTGATCGAACACCAGGTGACGTGAAGGAGCTCAAGGCGGCGCTACGCAAGTCTGGCAAGGGCTCCATCGACAAAAAGGACGAATGGTGCGACCCATTTTCTCTTTACTCTTTACTCTCATCTCTTTCCCCTCATACATTTGAACTTCGCTCCCCAGGGAGCAGACGCCGCTGCACGTGGGCTGCTTTGAGGGCCACTTCAGCGTGGTCAAGGTGCTCGTCAAAGCCAAGTCCAACGTCAACGCCCGCGACAAGAACAACTGGTGAGCACCACTCTGCCCCCACACCCTCCCAGCAGCTGGTACATATAAATATATATTTATTAACATATGCGTGCGAACGCACACAGGACACCACTTCATGCTGCGGCGTCGGGTCTGACATCGGACCATGTCAAGGTGTGCGGCCTTCTGTTGGACAAAGGTACTACTGCCCCCCCCCTCTCTTTTCGCACGAACCCTACGCGCCAACTTGTCTGGGGGGTCTGACGCATTGGTCTTGGCCTTGGCCTTGGCCTTGGCTCATTCAGGGGCGGATGCGTCGGCGAAGACGAACGACGGGTCGTGTCCGTTGCACTACTTTGTGCGCATGGACCCCAAGAACGTGACCGAGTTCCATAAGGTGCTCGAACGCATGGCCGTGGGCGATTCCCCGGTCGAACGCGCGCGCACCGTCAACACCCAGAACCGCCACGGCGAAAGCCCCCTCCACCACGCCGCCATCAAAGGCCGCGAACACGTACGCACGCGCCCACGCCCTCACCCCCTCCTAGGCCTATTCTATTTCATACTCACTTCACCATGATCACCGCAGGCCGTGCTGTTCCTCCACCACTTGGGTGCAGACATCAACGTACGTTGCCTCTCGCCTCTCGCCCTGCCTCGCAACTGTTGCTGCGCCGTGCCGTCTGCGTTTCTGTGCTGAAAATACGGCTGTGCCTCTCTCTCTCTCCCCCCCCCCTCCATATGAATGGACTGCAGCTGAAGAACAAGTACGGGGAGAGCAGTTTGGTGGTCGCCATCCGTTCCGCGCGAGCGGATATGGTCCGTCTGCTGCTCTCGCTCGGCGGTGATCCCCGTCAGGAGTCCGATGCCGGCGCCCCACTCGACCTTGCACGGTACCGCCGTGAGTCGTGTCGTGTCGTGTGCGTCTTCACTCAGTCACTTATCTTGGGACCATTGTCGTTCTTCTACTCAGGAGCACGGGCAACGAGGAAATCATCAATGCCATCCAGGAGTTCATAGAGGAGCGGAAGGGCAACCGTCTGCGGGGCAAGACCAGCGCTCCTCGCGCCATGAGCCCGCGAAGCTCGAGCGCGATCGGATCGCAAGTCGGCGTGCGTTGCCGCCCTGCCTCTTCGGCCGTTTTGTTGTTGCCCACTGTTGGCCCTAACGTCGAGCCGCTGCTGGCGGTTGTGGTTGCTGGGGAAACCACAAACAGTTGAGTCGGAAGGCGCACGCGCGAGCGCCCTCGGAGGGGTCGTTCCTCTTCGGGTCCAACCAAAAGGTGATCACCGACTACAAGAGCGACGAAGACGACGACGATGACTCTGACGATGACGGTACGTGGCACCGTATACATCCAATCCTGATCCTGTCGATATATGTCGGCCCACGTGGTGTGACGTACATTTATATAATATGTATATATATATGTATATAATATGTATATATATAGGAATATATTCACGTATGTATTCCCCACCACCACCAGATGACGATGACTCCGATGACTCGGAGGAGAGCGAGGGCGAGGGCGAGTCAGGCGAGAAGGCCTCGTCGCCGGAGGCGGAGCCCCGAAGCGCCGGGTTTGGGTTCATCGTGCCCGACGACAACGGCGACCAGGCCGACGGCAAGGCCACCGACGGCGAAGCCGCCAAGCACGACGACCACGCCCACGAAAAGAAGGTCCGCAGTACTTCGGTCTTTTGCTGCGGCGGCGGTCAAACGCTGGCATTCCTCACATTTCTCCGCCTGTTACTGCAGGGAGTCCCATGTACGCTGTGCTCGACGCTCATCCGGCATCCCAAGATTGAGATCAAGCCGAAGAGCGAATCCAAGGACACCAACGGCGAGGAGGCGGCCAAGAACAGCCCCGGCAAGCGGTACCACTTCCACGCCCGCTGCCCGGCCGAGTGGGACGAGGGCAACAACGGCTCCCAGTCGGGCGACGGCGACAAGGGCAAGCCCCGCAAGGGCTGGCGATGGGTGCGCAGCGCAGCCCACCCAAGCCCCAGCGAACTCTGGAACATCAACTACAACCAGCTGTACCCGCTCCCCTCGCCTGTCGTGTGTCGTGTGGTCGTGTTGTTGATCGGGTGGTACGTGTTGGGGGGTGGCAGGTCGTTGGACTTGTGTATTATTGTGAAGTCGGCGGAGGAGAGCGAGAAGGAGGGAGAGGAGGAGGACCATAAGAGGAAGTACTTCGTGCGGGGGCTCATTCACATTCCGACGCTGGCCTCGGCTTCGTCGTCAGCCAAGGACGACAGAGGCGAGGGCGAAGGCGAAGGGCTCACGTGGGGCGTGTGGGTGCGGGTCAACGAGGAGACCTTCAAGTGGATCGTCACCACCTGGGACAAAGACGGACGAGAACACGACGACAAGGCCAAGGGTGCGTTCTCTCTCTCTCTCGCTCCGTGCATGCATGAGAACCAACAATGTGTTGGTTAATTGGTGCCGTGGGTGGATAGGTTTCACGGGGGAGATCGCCACGCGCTTGCCCACGTATCTCAAGGACACGCTCGGTCTCAAGGTGCAACTCAAGATCCAGCCCGCGGGCAGGCGGCCGACGTTGGTGGTCCTCGATGCCCACCCCCTGGCGGCGCAGCAGAAGAACGGCATCACACGAAAGAAGCTCCTCCAGACCGTACACGCCATCCAGGACGCCACCATGTAAACCGCCAATCCAAAGTGTGTCATCTTTCCTCTTCGTCTTGTGGTGAACCATGGACATGGAGGGAGGGCATGTTGTTGGTAAGGGGGCGGGTTTATTGGGGTAAACGTCCACCCGCGGGGAAGAGCTGCTTTAGTTGGTGTTGGCGGGCGCAGGGGCGGCCTTCTTGGGCTGGTTCTTGGGCGGGTTCTGGACCTTCTTGGGGGCGGCGGGCTTCTTGGCGGCGGGCTTCTTCTCGACCTTCTTCTTCTCGCCGGAGAAGGTGAAGACGGGCTTGAGCGGGACGGCGGTGGCCTTCTTGTTGTCGTGGTCGGGGGCGTCGGCGTCCGAGGCCGAATAAATAGAGAGGGCGGCAAGGCCGAGCTGCTCGCGCAAGAACTCCTGGTTGCTCTTGAGGAGGGCCACCTGGTCGAAGGGCGCGGCGAGGTTGAAGGCGGCCGGGCCGTCGGCCTTGATGCGGTTGGGCATGTCGGCCACGAGGTTCATGACCTTCTTGGTGTCGGCCTTGAGCGAGGTGTCCTCCTTGAGGGCGTCGGAGACCTTCTTCTTGAAGTCGGGCTCGAACTCGCCGGTGGCGGCGTTGAAGAGCGGGAGGAGGGCCTTGATGGCCTTCTGGTGCCACGAGGGGAACTCGTCGCTCACGTAGACGTAGCCGTTGGCCGTGTCCACGAACTGCTCCCGCGTGTTCTGGATGCGGATGCGGAACGTGTGGAGCACCTCCTGGAGGAAGTCGTTCTGGGCCAGGAGGGCCTCGTCGACGGGACCCGACGCGGGCCACGAGGCCTGGCGCACGGAGCCGGCGCGGTGGAGCAGCTTGGTCCAGATGTAGTCGCAGTAGTGCGGGCAGATGGGCGCGAGCAGGATGGTCTGCACCTCGATGAACCGCTCCACGAGCTGCCGGTTCATCTGCTTCTCGGCCAGGCGGTAGTTGTCTCGCGCCGACTGCAGATTCCAGAAGCCCGTGAGGAGCGCCTCGCGGAACTTCATGCGCTCGTAGTTGCCATCGGTCAGCGTGACGGCGCGGTTGATCTCGCTCTGGAAGACCAGGTCGAAGAAGGTCGTGGGCTCGCCCTCCCGGAGGCTGCCCAGGTTGGCGATGGTCTCCTTGATCCAGTCGATCTGCGTGTAGAGGCGGAGCACGCCCGTGTCCACCGTCTCGTCGAGGAAGTTGGCGTCCTCGGTCGTGTCGCCCGAATCGGCCAGGGCGAACCGCATGCCGTCCACCGAGTACTTCTCCATCGCATCGCGCAGGGTGAGGAAGTTGCCCGTCGACTTGGACATCTTCTCACCGTTGAGGAGGATGTGGCCGTTGGCGCGCACGCCCTGCGGGCATCGCTCCTTGGGGAAGAAGGCCGCGTGGTTGTAGAGGAAGAACGTCAAGTGGTTGGGCACGAGATCCTTGCCCGACACGCGGAGATCCAACGGATACCTGGCATACCACACAACACACAACACACACACGAGCTGAGTCAGCACCGGCCCTCTATGGATTCTCTCGCGCTGGTGGGATGGTGTGGGTGGACTCGTGTACCAGTACTCGAACTCTCGGCGGAGAGCCTTGAGCGTGTCGACGGGGATGGTGGTCTCGGCGGGGAGGTCGGCGCGGGCAAAGATGTAGTCCCACACCTGGTTGGTGAGCTGATCGGGCTTGACGCCGGCCGGACCGGTGACGTGGCCGTCGAGGCTGCCAGCCTGGAGCAGGTGGGCGACGGCGTAGTAGGCCATGTAGATCGTCGAGTCCGAGAGCGACTCGATGAGGTACTGGGTATCCCACGGGAGCTTCGTACCCAAGCCGTAGCTGCGCGAGCACGCCCACTCCTTCAACCAGTCGAGGGTCTTCTCGAACTGATGCCGGGTCTCGGTACCGAAGGTCTCCATGTCCTTCAAGACGGCCTCCACCTGACCAGCGTTGCGTGCGAGGGTGGGTGGGTGAGCACACACTGCGAAGGGAGGTCCCAGAACGAGGAGGTGTAGGATGGGGCGTACCTGGGCGCGCCACTCGGGCTCGCCGTAGGCGATGTACCACTGATCGGTGAGGGCGCACACGCACTTGTCGCCCGAGCGCGAGATGACGGTCTCAGCGGGCTCGCTGTACACGACGGCCAGTCCGGCGTCGATCAACTCCTTCTTGATGAGGGGCTTAGCGTCCTGCACCTTCCTGCAAATGCCGAGAGAAAATCGTTGTAAGCCACGAGGCCGCGCCACAATGCCCGTCGGGCTGATAGTGGGCGGGGGGGAGAGACGTACATTCCGGCGTGAGGTCCGACCTTCATGACGCCATCGTAGAAGCCCTTCAAGTAGACGCGGTCCTTGGCGATAGTGAGCTTGTCCTTATCGTTCTGGCTGGCGATCTTGAGCTCGTTGTAGAGCGTCACGGCGGCGGTGTCGCCGTACTCGGGAATGTCGATGATGGGGACCACCTCGAAGGGGAGCACCATCTCGTCGGTGACGTTGTACTTGGCGCGGAAGGGCTGCTTGTTCTTGAGGTCCATGAGGGCGGCGTAATCGTCGGGGGCATCGCTGGGCACGCTGGTCACCACGCCCGTACCCTTGTCGAGCGAGACGGTGAGCATGGGGAGGACGTAGATGGCCTCGTACTTGGCGAGAGGAGCCTTGAGGCGGAGACCGATCAGGTCCTGGCCGGTGAGCTCCACCAAACGCACAGGCTTACCGAACTCCTTGGAGTGGCCCTGGAAGCTGAGGTCTGCGCGCGTACGAACACGTAAAGTTAGTATTTTAGGCCATGACGCCTGGGCGAAAGACGTAAGACGGTGGACGAGTACTCTTGGCGGCCTGCTCGCCGCAGATGAAGACGTCAGTGTCGTTGATCTCGTAGGCACCGTAGGTACCGGTGGGGAGGACGTAGCAGTTGGTCTGACCGTACATGGTCTCCGGCCTCAAGGTAGCGGGCACGAGGTAGACCTTCTTGCCCTCCAACACCTTCATCTTCTCGGGAAGCGGGGCGAGCACCTCCTGCTTGATGAGGGTGTACTCCTGCGGCAGCACTCCCTCTCCCTTGGAGCGATCGTGGTCCGCGCAAGGCTGGCCGTCCAACGGCGAGTAGATCGAGTATCGCTTGCCGAACTGGACCTTGCCCTGGGCCTTGAGGGTCTCGAACTGCCAGCGGACGAACGAGTCGTAGTAGGGGTTCACGTCGGTGGTGATGAACGAGCGCCGCCAGTCGACGCAGGCACCCATGTCCTTGAGATCCTCCATGGCGAACGGGGGGAAGTAGTAGAGCCAGTGCTGGGCATCGGCGAACTTGGGGATGTCGCTCTCGGGCACTCCCATCTCCTCCATGATCTCCCACTGGTACTTGTCCCTACCGCTGCCCTTGGCCTTGGCCTTGGACTGTTGAAACGCAAAGGAGAGACGGCGAACATGGAGAAACACTGCACAGTGAGCCCCGGGGTTGGCCAACCTCCTGCTGTGAAGTGAGAGTAGGGTACCTTGGCAGAGTGGAAAACGGTGGGGTCGGCCTTCTTCTTCTCGGGAGCGGGCTCGGCCTCCTCTGCAGCCAGGAGCAACGTAAGAATTAGCAAAACAGTAAATTCGAATTAATCACATTAATGCAGCGGGCGATGGGGTTTTGCATGGAAAAGTGGGGGGGGGATCCGTACCGACAGCCACGGGCTCGGGGAACTTGGGCGGGCAGCCGAATTGCTCGATCTCTCGCTTGATCTTGTCGGCACAGGCCTTGATGGGCATACCAGTGCAGTGGAAGCCGAAGGGGAAGAGGACCCTCTTGCCCTTGAGCCTCTGGTAGCCGGCGGCGTACTCGGCCTTGGACACGGTGAAGGTGTGACCGAGGTGGAGGCGGCCGTTCATGTAAGGATACGGGAACGAGACCATGTACTTGGGTTCATCCGCCTCTCCTTCCTTGGGGGCATCGGTCTCCCAGAGTTTCTTCTCTTCCCAATCCTTGGCAATCTCCTTCTCGATGGCAATCAAAAAATCGCGCTTGGCATACGAAACGGGCTCCTTCCTCTTCGCGGCGGCCGCAGCCTCGCCCGCTACTTCCTGGGGCACCGGTGTTGTGGTCGAGGCCTCCATCTTGTGTGATAATCGAGAGCGTGTGGAAGAGGAGCGAGATGCACACAAAAGCTTTTTGAGCGGCAAGACAAGGAGAGAACACAACTCCGGAAAAAACCGAGAACACCGACGCGACGCAAATTACAGCTTAGGAAAACACAAGAGATATTTAATTTCTCCTTCTCTGTGTCGCCCTTTTCCGCCCACTTCACGCGTGCTCTCCGTGCGCTGGGTCCTTCTCCTCGTCGGTGCCTTGATCAGCATCGCTGATGGTGGTGTCGGCTGTGGGCTCTGGCGATCGGTCTGCCTCCTTCTTTTCACTGGCGTATTCCTCCTCGGCGGCCTCGCTGGCATTGGGGATCGGTTCCGGTGTTTTGTTGGGTTTGGGCGGCTCAAGCGAGTTGGTCCGTATTCGCTGGTGTCCGAACGAGGGACTTCGTACGCGGCTTACCGTAGGCGCAGTGTCTGCTTCCTCCACAGCCCCGGAATCTGCCACGCCCGTCAGCGCGGTCTTGAGCAGGTTGGCGTCCGAGTTGGTACGGTATTGTGCCGTCACCCATGCCTCTCGTGATGATGCGATGGAGCCTCGTCGACGAGGGCTCGAGGGGTTCTGTCCCGTAGGACTGAGAGAGGCCGTGCGTTGGGTTACCGGCGACTGCTTGTCGAGTTGCAATCCATTGCCCATACCTGAACCAAGGCACCCGGTTGTGTTACCCACAGTGGCCGAACGATCAACGAGTACAGGAGGCACATACCGACGGCCTTGTTGAGCGCGCTGATCCACTCCTTGAATGACGCGTCAGTGTCAGCGTAGAGCACGTAGACGCGAGTGGGGGAGACGATCTCGAAGGAGTTGGCCTTCTTGGCCGTCTCACTCTTGCGCAGGCTGCATTCGTTCAGATCGATTACGCCTGAAAGCAGAGAGCGCTAAGTGAATGGAGATTCTGGGCGGACCAGGTCAAATGGCCCTACGTACCCGCAGGCTGGTTATCGCCTCGTACTTTGTAGTAGAAGAGGACGGAGGTCTTGAGCACGAACCAGCGCTTCGCCCAGGCCTTGGAGATCTTTCCTCGCTGGTTGAGGTACCCCTCTCGGTACTGAGATTTCTTCTTCTTCGCCTGCACACGATGACGCATAAGAAGAAAGGCTGGTGTCAGTTGAGTGCGCAAAGCAGGATCATAGGATGCGGTGCGCACCACTCCCTGCCAGGGCCGCCACGGGTTGGCCGCCACAGGGCCGGTCCGCTGAATGCTCCGCTGGCTGACGCTGCGGGCAGATCGAGGAGAGACGAAGCCGTTGCTGGCTCCGGCCGTCGCGGGCAACAGAGCTCGAGTGGCCTCGAATCGTGCGATCTCGGCCAGGTTTGCGAACGTCTTCTTGATGTACTTGTGCTTGGTCCACTCCTCCCTCGTCGTTCTGTCACTGGTGGGTCCGGGGCGGCTGGCCTCGAGCTCGGGCGGCACACAGTGCTCCCAAATCGCATTGGCCTTCTTGTTGCCCATGTCGAGCATGAACTGCACAACACACCCACGTTACCAGCTTAGCAAATGATGGAGGGAAGGAAGAGGGGGTCGCGCATGGCGTACTTGAATCGTATCCTTGTCCCACAGATCGAGTTCGATCGAGCGCACTTTGGAGATGTGTACGCCGAGTGAACGATGGATACCGGAACACTCAATGCAAAGGTACAGGCCCAGATTGATGGACACCCATCGCGGGTCCTTCTCGCCGCAGTCGGCGCACATCTCGTTGTCGCTCTCCGCCAGGGCGTCGAGCAGCGCCTGGGGCTTAAGCACCCGGTCGTCCTCTACCAGCTCGTCACTTCCACTGTGCAAGCATTTAGCTCCGAGCACAGGACAAAAGAAGAAGAAGAAGAAGAAAAGAGACGGTCTAACGTACTGATCTTCCAAGCTCATCTCATCGGCGCTCGAGGACATCAGCGTTGGAGGCGATTGCCGCGTGAGTCTCGAGTCGGGCACCACCGACGCCGACATGGCGCGCGGCCGCGCCGGCGAAGACGAAGCCGAGCTCTTCTTGAAGTTGCTCAGCAGCAACTCGATAATGCCACGCAAGGCCGCCATCCAGAGCGCCAGGTCGTTTGCTGGCGAGCAATGTTGTTCGGGTCAATGCTAAAAACTGGAATTCATGTAAATGGAGCGCCACGGTACCATTTTCGGCTTGCAAGTGGAACGACGCATTCGGCAAAACAACGTCGAAGCAGTGATTGACCGGATCGACCACTTTAACAGAGCTGGTCAGCAGGTTAACAAATTCGAGCGGTGTCGCATCCTGTGCGTGCGTGTGGGAGAGGACGGCGGTGAGCAAAAAAGCCACTACACCGAGACCATAAAGCTCGGAAGACTGTACGCCCTGATGCTTGTAGATGTACAGAGAATCCACTTTGAGCGCCACCCAGACTCGCTTGCCGGACTTGGCCGGCGATTTCCGCTTGTACAGGAAGCCCTCGCAGATTGGCCCGCTTGGCGCTGCAACGACCTCCGCCTGTTTTTCGATCAGGAGGCTGCTGAAACTCCTCATGGGCGATCGCTCGGGTGACATCTGCGTCTGGTGCGGCGGTAGCTCGCCCGAGCTTGTCATTCCGAGGTCCTCTGCGGGGAGTTCGCCTTGCCCCAAGATGGAGGAGTCCGACATGGCTTCGGCGAGCAGTCTATTGAGAGACGAGGCCACGAATGAAGAGTTGAGATTGTGTGCGAAAACGAGGACAAACTACTTACCGCCCACTGGCTTGGCGGATGGTGAAGATCCAATTGCGCATCTCGTCGGCGTTCTCGGCGAGGACCAGTATGGACTGCTCTGGGGTAGTGACCTCGAAGCAGAGCTTCTTGTCCTCGAAACGATCTGACGCCTTGACGCTGCACTGCAACAGTCGCACTGTTGTGTGCGGTTTGGCACTGATCGCGCGAGTGGGGGGTGAGCTGTTCGGTGGAAACTGTCAGGGCGGGCCTACAAGATAGAAATACATACCCCGAGCGTGTGTCTTGCTTTGATTTGAAGATGCGCAAGTGGTCGCGAGAGAGCACGAACCACCGCTTCCGCCACTCCTTCCACACCTTGGAGTGGCTCATGGTGAGCAGGGGACCCTCCATAAGGATCAGGTTGGTGAACGACCGCTGCCGCGCCAGGTTCGAGCCGCTCATCGTCATCATGTCGTACGACATTTCCTCGTTCTGCCGTCCCACAAGCAACAAACAAGTGAGGCCAACGAGCTAGAGCGCTTTCGAGGCGCGCTAGGCGCGCACCTTCTTGGTGTCGAGGTCCAGCTCTTCGTGAAGTGGAGTGGTAAGGGGCTCCACATCATCTTCCATGGTCGTTTGGTTAGCTTTCTCGTCTTCGCTGAGCACGATCTTACAGACCATCTGCAAGGCCGACAACCACTCCTGCGCATCGGCCGCGCTGTCGGCCTGCCGTGTCGGGATGAAACAGCGCGTGGAGTGTCAAGATCCAAAGAACATAGATAAAGTCCAGCGCCAGGTCAAGCTGCAAGCAGTACCTGAAGCACCAAGTGATTGCTGGTTGAGGGCGTGATGACCTTGATGCGGCAGCCTCCCGGGTAGGTTGTGACAGGCAGCACGGAACTGAAGCGCAATTCCAGAACCAGCTCGGGCAGGGTGTCCTGGCAGGAGTGGCGTGAGTGTCAGCTACTCCTGGCTCTGGGCTCAGGGAATGGCCATCGGCAAGGCGAGGTGTTGTACCGTGGGTAATCGATAGAAGGACAAGTAAGTGGTCAGCACACAGTAGAGCCTTGGCCAAAGCTTGTTGCTCTCCTTCATGTACACGTACCCGGCCTTCACGACGTCTTTATACTGCAATATCCCAAAGCGAGAGAGCGTGAGTCCCAAGCGAGCGTAAGAGAAGGGGAAGAAGAGGAAAAACTGAACCACTTGTGGGGTGAGGTCGTGAGGGTAGGTCTGATTGCCTCGAAAGGCCATGTCCACATACTTGGCCGCCACGAAAGCGCGCCTTCCATCACTGTATACCTACTGGTCAGTGGCCTCTCCAACTCACTCTAGCCCTCCCACCTAAGGAGCCGTACAAGGGTTCCGTCTGGGAAGGTTTCTTCAGCTTGATCGCGCTCTCCAAAATAGAGTTGGCTGCCCCGTTGTACATTGCCACCGTACGCTACATACGCCCCCCTCAGTTGATCAACGCACGCCGGGAAAAATTTTTGATTGAGAGTCGGGGGGGGGGGCAGATGAAGATGGCTCACCTCGAGGTCAGCGTGGTCCAGATCTTTGATAAGCTTGATGGGCAGGCCGAGGCTAAGGTGAGCCCCAGCGCACTCCAAGCAAAGAAGGACGCCGGGCTTGACACTCGCATGTTTGGCCCCTAAAAGCGCAGATGTGGAGATGAGCACGCCTATGAAATCGAGAGAGGAAGAGGAAGCATACCCTTCACCGAGCAATCGGCACAGTTGGCGTTGTCTCGTTTGAGCTTTAGAAAGAGCTTTTCGTCTTCTTTATCTCTCTTTCGGACCGTTTCGCCCTCCTCTTTGCTCCTTCTGATTATCCAGCTCCCCCTTCTCTTCAACTTAGTAGGAGGTTGCATCCCAAGCATGATCTCCGCCGTTGGTTTCGCCCTCTCCACACAATCAACAATGTTGAGCCTCCAGCCAAGTATCTCTTCTTCTTCAAGGTCTCAACCGATCGTGTTGTCCCTTCGCCTAACACCAGAACGAGCCGCTATTCCCTTTCTTGGGCCAAGGAATTTACGGAATTTAAAGTATTATTTATTCTTTTTACTAATTTGATAAATTGAGCTTTTGTGATGAGAAATGGAGGAACGAGGGGAAGAGGGTGTGGCAGAGCTGGTCGAGCAACAAGAGATTTCTTTGCTGCAATCAGAAAAGCTAATGATTGAAGCAGAATCGGATCACCACACCGTGTACGGAGGAGGGCGGGAGTACTGGAACGCGAGGTGAGTACACGCAAGGTCCTTGAACGTTCGCTCGGTGCGCACGGCGTTACGTCACATAACGTTCAATTCATTCCTAGGTACGCCCAGCCCAAGTACGTCAAGCACAAGGACTGGTATTGTGAGTACCCCATTCTCCGGCGCCACGCCCTGGCCGTCTTCGCGCCCTACCTGCCACTCCCGGCCCCCTCCGGCTCGGCCCCACGCCTGTTGGTCGTCGGCTGTGGCAACTCGTGTGCGTCCACCCGCCTTTCGGGTTTTGTTTGGCGGAGCTCGGCGGGCGAGGAAAGCACAGGGTATCGGGTATGACCGTTGTGCCACCAATGTGTGTGCTTGCAGCCGTGTCGGCGGGACTGTACGAAGACGGATACACGAACATCGTCAACATCGACATATCCGACGTGATCATCCGGCAGATGACGGTGGAACACAGCGAGCGCTACCCGCTCATGACTTGTAACCCTCTCCCCACCAAAGACCACACCCTTCCTCCCGCTACACGGCACTAATTCCGCTGCAGACGCGGTCATGGACGTCTCCCACATGGACTTTGATGACGAGTCCTTCGATCTGGTCCTCGACAAAGGTCTTGCCCCACTCCTGGGCAGGGGGCTAAGGGGTCCCACCCACTCACTCGATTCGCTGGACCACCGCAGGAACCTTGGACGCCGTGTGCTGCGGTCCGCAGTGCTTCGAGTTCGTCCATGAGATGTGCAGCGAGATATGGCGGGTAATGCGCACCGGCGGGCAGTACGTTTGCATTAGCTATGGCCCACCCTTCCTCCGCCGGCACTACCTCCTCAAGGACGAGCTCAAGCACAAGGTGACTGATCTCTGCCTGGTTGTCAATGTTTGGTGACAACGTGGTACTCACCGCGAAGAGCTTCCGCACAACAACAACAACAACAACACCTACAGTGGCGCCTGGAGGAGCGTAAGATCACGCTGAACCGTGACGAGCAAGTGCGGTGCCTGTCCGTGCTGGAGGACGATGAGAGCGGTACCTTTTACGTCTACATCTGCACCAAACTGTCGCCGGAAGAGCAACAGGAGCGGGTAGCTGCCCACCTCCGAGAGCAGAGCGAGCGCGTCAGCGCAGCGAAGAGGAAGGAAGAAGAATGCGAGCACGAGGACGAGGACGATGGGGAAGGTGACGATGACGGTGAGTACGATGACGCAGACTTCAAAGTGGCCGACTTCCTTGAAAATCCACTTTATAAACAAAATCACACATGAACGCTGGAGTGCTGGCGCTGCACAATGAACACACTCGAGACAAAACCGCCAGTGACACGCACCACCGGATGTAGACATCGACCAACGGTTCAACATCGACTCGCCTAGACGCGAAGAGCGGCGTTCAGCAGCACCTGGAAGTCAGGCGTGCCGAGACCGGTGATGGCGTCCTAAACACCATGATGGCACAGCACATGAGAAGGCACACAGTTGCACGGACCGACCGGCCGGGAGGATGCGTACCCATCCAGGTGTTGCAGGGAAGCCCGCAGAGCACCACGAGTTCTGGTTGTTGCCCTGCGTTACATCAAACCCGACGCGTCCCACCTAGGCGATTCACAAATCCAGTGTCAGCGAGTGAGTACAGTGGGTAGGCAGGCAGGTGTACCTGGTAGAGGAAGGGGTTGAGGAAGCCGAGTGGACCCTTGCCCGCCTGGTAGCGGGCGTCGTTGAGCAGAGTGACGACGGCGGCAAATGTCGGGGCAGCCGCCGAGGTACCGGAGATGGGACCCCACAGGCCCTGGATCACCACCTCGTAATTGGTGCTCAGCGCCGACACGTCGGGCAATGCGCGTCCGCTGATGTTGTAGTACTCCGCGTCGGGCAGACCACCTGATGTGGCGCACAAACGAACGTGACGCCAGCCTTAGATTCGTTTTCTGCCTAGATGTCAGTGAATGAAGCTCTGAGAGCTAACGCACTCTGCTGCAGGTACTGCTTGACGGCGGCGCTCTGGTAGGCGGGCTGAGGGTAGTTGGCGGAGAAGCCGCCTCCGCTACCGGGCCATCCGATCTCGGTACCACCTTGTGGGGTCGGGAGTGAGCAGGCGACCACCAATGTTTGACACAATCACGCACATACCCGTCTGAGCAGTCAAGTAGGTGCCGCCCACGGCGGTGATGTAGGGCGAAGAGGCCGGGAAGTTGGCATCAAAGGTGCCACACCAGAAGGTGCCCGTGTGCCCGGTTCCGTCATCGCCAGAGGACTGAAGAAGGAGAGCACCGATGTTAGTAATCACGTTGGCGAATGGCAATGAAGGCCGGGAATGGTGGCGATTTATACCGCCAGTAGGGAGAAGCCGAGCAGCCCAAGCTTCTGGAATTCGACGTTGACTCTGTTCATGGTGCCTGCATCGTAGGAGCTTTCGCCGCTGCCGTAGCCTGCGCACAGCCGCAAAGGAATGTGAATGGCTGGCGTAGAAAGGAGGAGCAATAGTCTGCGTGAGAACAGCAGCGGCCCGGGCTACGCACTGACGGAGTGAACGCGCGGAGCGCCGGGAGTGGCGGCAATCTTGATGCCCCAGGACACCAGGTCGAAAGAGTCCTGGTAGAACACCCAGGTGGGCACATTCGTCGCCACGGCCATGATGTACTCCGTGTCCAGCGACGCTTCGCCCAGGTAGCCTGCAACGTCAGATGGCTAGATAAGTTGTTGAGAGCTGCGATTAAAGAAGCCACCAATCTGAAGGCCACTGCAGTCCGTACCAGTGTCGGGGTGATTGCTGCCGACGATGAGGGAGATGTTCTGGAGCGGCAGATCGAACTTCTTCTCGAAGATGGGGATGTCCGACGGGTAGAAGTACTCCTGCTCGAACTCGGCCACAGCCTGGCTGCTGTTGTCCGCCTTGCCCACGGCGTTGTTGATCTTGTAGAGGCTCTTGATGATGCCCGGCGTGATGCTGACGCCGGGCTCGTCGGCGTAGGCGCTCGCAGGCCTCCTGTCATCCACGACTCACTCGTGTGAGCAATGGCGGTGAAACAGAGAGGGGCCGAGCGTACGATTTGACGACGGGAGGGAAGTCAACGAGTCCGCTGACGCTGTAGACGAGCTCGGCAATGTGCGCGGGCAGGGAGTACTTCTGCTCCCTCGCGCGGAGGATGAACTGGGGAATGGTACTGGCCTCCTTGGCCCTCCGCACATAACGCACGAGCTCCACGCCAAAGAGGCGCTCGGCCGCGGCAGCGGGCATCGTCACGATGATGTAGTCGCCCGTGGGCACCACTTCCGTCGCCGATGGCGCACCGCTCTGCAGCCACTCCAGCACAGCCTGCACTCGCGTGGCAAGGCGTGTCGGATCAGGCACATCCCACAGCAGGTCCATTGGGGGGGGGGTGTACTTGGACATGGGCAGCTGGGGGCGCGATGAGGCCCCTGAGCTGGGGCACGGTCATGAAGTGGCCGTAGTCGCGGCTCGTGGGGTCCGACACGGCCCAGAACCTCCTCTCCAGCTCGTCCAAGTTGCGCTGCTTCAGCTCCACACGCAGCTCCACCTGATGTGGTCCACACCAGTGCCTTCGATTGTAGTGACCGTTGGGGGGGGGGGCAAGCGACCGAGTAGTGGACGTACCGTCTGGCTGGGCGAGTCAAATCTGTCGGGAGAGACGGTCCAGCCGTACTTCGACGGGGGCACAGTCCCACGCCTCACTTCCGGCTCGTTCCCGCTGAAGCTCGCCGCTGCCGCCGCGACAAGCACAAGGACCACCACAGCGCACCTCATCTGCTGCATCTCGTTACACAAAACGAAAAATGATAAATACAAAATGAGTGAGTTTTATTGGCTGACACGCACGGAGAGACACACTGAGTCACTTGGCTGGAAGCGCAGTGGCGGGGGTGGCGATGGTGGTGGCGGGAGCAGCGACGACATCGGGCTGGGGTAGGAATGTGTTGTAGTTGATGAGGCTGGCCTCCTTTTGCATCTCCTGGAAGCACTCGGGAAGCTGGCCCTTCTGCACCGCGGGGGAGCCGCCAAAGATGGTAAAGGGCGGGACCACAGTGCCGGGCGCCAGCACGCTGCCCTCTTCCACCCAGCAGCAGTCCTTCAGCACGCTGTGTCTCCCCTGCACACATGCAAGGCGGAGGTGATGGCACATCATTGTTCGTTCGATCGATTGCGTTAGTTTACACCTCCGCCTGGCCGAGGAGAGAGAAAGGGCACGCATACGAGAACGGCACCGCGGCCCACGTGCACGTAGGAACCGATGGAAGTGGCGCTCACGATGCAATCCTCCTCGATGTGGACGAAGTCGCCGATTGTGACGGGAAAGAACGCCACCGAACTGTGCATGCGGAAGAAGTGAGTGAACGCGAGCGCAGCGGCCACAAAGCGGAGAGACCAACCCTTGGTATCGCTTGTGGGCTGGTCGAATGACCACGTTCCTCCCAATCACTGAATATTTACCCACGTTCACCGCGCCCAGGTCTCCTCGAATCATTGCCCCTGGCATCACGACCGTCTGCAAGACGAGCTCATAGTTGGTGAAATCCAAGGCAGCAAAGATACTACTCGAGATCAGTGCGTAGTACCTTTCCGTGCAGTCGAATGTTTTGGCTGCCGCACAAGATGGATTTGCGGCCGACCTTGTTGCCTGTGTGCGTCTCGATGAACTCTGATTTTTCATAGTACTGCGCTGGTGGTTCTGATGTCGCCTCCATCTTTGCCTGCAATCTTATCATTTCTTCATGTTTTCCTTCACCTTCCATGTTTCCTTCATCTCATTATTGTCGACGGAGGAAATTTGCTGGTCCAGCAGCCGGAGCTGTCCACTGAGATTAATCAGTCCTTTTCCGCTAATTGCTCGCGATCACATCGCATCGTGACAGATCCTGTCCCTCGCGAGCACTTACGCCTCGTGGAGTTCTCTAAGCATCTCTCAACCATCCTAACACATGTCTCTTCTACGAGCCCGACAGCCAATTTTGGGGAGATCCCTAACATCAGGCCCGATTCTTCCGCGGGCATCTCTACCCTCATCAACGATTTTGCGGCACGATCAGCTCCGATCTTCTACTCGACTTTTTACTTCCTCATCTGCGTCATCTCCCTCTTCGATTCTCTTCCCTCTTTCCCGAACCGGTCCATCTTCATCTCGATCCTCCACCACGGCCAATTTTGCCCGCGCCAAGCATTCAACTTCGACCCAGCCCAAGGAGCCGGTTTTCATCGCCTCCCTCCAATCTCACAAGGAATCGGCGCCTGTGACAAAGTCGGCATCTCAGACCGAACTCGAGAAGCAGCAGAGAGAGTGGGAGGCCAAGCGCGAGCTTGAAAATCTCGAGTACGAATGGGAGACCAAGTCGGTGGAGAAGGCCGTCGAGCGCTACAAGAAGATTTCGAAGAGTCTCAAGCAACTGGGGCTCGCCTTCGAGCTGCTGCAGGGCAATCAGATCCTGGGCCACTGGTTCGAGCCCCTCTGCGCAGCCATCCGGGCCGAGCAGAACGCGGCTCTCCTCAAGACCTCTGCCGCCGATGCGGCCGCCTCGCCGACGAAGGGGAAAAAGAAGACCCAGAAGGCTGAAGATCGCGAGCTCAGCGCCTACCTGGTCACCATCCCGCCCGAGAAGCTGGCTGTCATCACCATCCACGAAACCATGTGCGAGATCTTGAAGAGCCATCATCCCGAGGGTGCACCGTTCGCCGCGCTCGTCGTGGCCGTGGGTCGAGCCGTCGAGTACGAGTACAACTGCGAGCGCCTGGCCAAGGAGGGCTGGAAGCCGCAGCTGCGCAACCGCTCGGCCACCCCCACCAAGCAGCAGATTTGCTCCCTCATCCGCACGCAGAGCCGGGCGCAGTTCGAGGACGCCTCCTGGGGCGCCGCGCTGCACGCCAAGATCGGCTCGCTGCTCGTCCAGCAGCTCCTCGGCACGGCCACCATCGCGCGCAAGGCCGAGGAGGCCGACGTCGCCGCCGCCCAGTCGTCGCCCGCTCGGCTTCTGTCCGGAGCGCCGCGCAAGAGACCCGCGTTCGTCACCAAGGAGGAGGCCCTTCTCGAGCCGGCCTTCAACCACCACCAGGCCATGCTCAGGGGCAAGCTCACGGGCTTCCTCGGGTGCCACGAGCAGGTCCTGGCCCTCATGGAGCACGAGGAGGTGCAGCGCGGTGTCATGCAGGCCCGCTACATGCCCATGCTGGTCGAACCCCAGCCGTGGGTCGCCCCCAACCAGGGCGGCTACCTCGTCGCGCGCACCCAGGTGCTCCGCGCCAAGGGCTCCCGCATGCAGACCGAGGTGCTGCGCTCCGCGTCGATGGACAAGGTCTACGAGTGCCTCAACCTCCTTTCCTCGACCCCGTGGCGCATCAACAACCGTATGCACGAGGTCATCTGCGAAGCTTGGGACAATGGCGGCGGCATTGCCGACCTCCCCAGCCGTACCAACCTTGTACGGCGTCTTCTCCTTATATCTGTTCACACTGCGAACGAACCACTCTTCTCACGTGAGAAGCTGACGATCGATCCTCCTTGTGACGCGCGCTCGTGCAGCCTGAACTCGAACCGCCGGCCGACTACTACTCAGATCTCGAGGTCAAGCAGAAGTTTGATCGCGAGCGCAAGAAGGCGAAGATCGCCAACTACAACCTTCATTCGCTCCGTTGCGACGTGACCTACAAACTCCAGGCAAGCTCTCGCCCACCTCACACCCCAAAGAGAGATGTCGCGCGACGCTCGACACTCACGCTCTTCTTCTTGTGCGCCTCCAGGTCGCGAAAGAGTGCCAGGACAGGACATTCTACTATCCCCACAACATGGACTTCCGTGGTCGTACCTACCCCATTCCGCCCCACTTGAACCATCTGGGTCAGGACCTGTGTCGTGGTCTCCTCACATTTGCCGAGGGCAAGCCTCTCGGCGAGTCCGGATTGCGATGGTACCTTCTGCTTCCCTCGGGAGTTCGAATCGCTTCTCGCAGCTGCCTGGCGTATAACTTCCGCGTCCCCCATTGATGTGCAGGCTGAAAGTGCATTTGGCCAACGTGTTCGGCAATGACAAGATCACGTTCGAGGACCGCGTGCGATTCGTGGAGAACAACATGGAACACATCATGGACTCGGCGTCCAATCCGCTCGGCGGCCAGCGCTGGTGGCTGAAGGCCGACAAGCCGTGGCAGTGCCTCGCGGCATCGATCGAACTCATCAACGCCTACAACAGCGGCCAGCCCGAGACCTACGTCTCCACGCTGCCCATCCACCAGGACGGCTCCTGCAACGGCCTGCAACACTACGCCGCCTTGGGCGGTGACGAAATGGGCGCCCGACAAGTGAACCTTCTGCCATCGGAGCGACCGCAGGACGTGTACTCGGGCGTAGTGGAACTTGTCGTACGGCGACTCGAAGACGATGCTGCCAACGGTGTGGAGATCGCTCAGCGGCTGCTGGGCAAGGTGGACCGTAAGGTGATCAAGCAGACCGTGATGACCAGGTGCGGCTTCGTTTGCCAACCCTTTCTCCCCTCGCCTGCCGCATTGTACAAGGATTTCCTTCTGACCGCTCGGCACCTTTTCTTCTCTTTCTTTTAAACAACAGCGTGTACGGCGTCACGTTCATCGGAGCGAGGCAGCAGATCGAAAACGCGCTGAAGGACAAGGGCAAGGTGTCCGACGACGACATGTTCCTCGCCTCCCGGTATCTTGCCACGTCGACCTTCTCCTCCATCAAGGAGATGTTCAGCGGAGCGAGGGAGATCATGACTTGGCTCAGTACGTTCTTCAGCCTTCTGTCGCCGCCTCTCTTTCGTCTTCATCAATTATAGCGTCGTGACTCACACTCTCTTTGTTTGACTTGACGTGATTGCAGGCGATTGTGCGACGCTGATCGCGAAGCAGGGTAAGCCCGTAACGTGGGTCACGCCCATGGGTCTGCCGGTGGTCCAGCCCTACCGTACCAAGGGCAAGCAGACCCAGACCGTTGTGACGGCCCTGCAGAACGTGATGCTGGTCAAGGAGGAAAACGACAGCCTGCCGGTCAACACCCGAAAGCAGCGCACTGCCTTCCCGCCCAACTACGTCCACTCGCTCGACTCCACCCACATGATGCTCACCGCTCTCCAGTGTCACGAGGCTGGTATGCGTGACCTTCTTCTTCTTCTTCTTCTTCTCGCAGTCTCCTCTTCGTGTTGCGTTGCCAGGAAAGACGACCGGCTCGTACTGACACTTTTTCTTGTGTGCAATGCACGACAGGCCTCACGTACGCGTCGGTGCACGACAGCTACTGGACGCACGCCTCGTCGGTGGACACGATGAACCACATCCTGCGACGAACGTTCGTCGACCTCCACTCGCAGCCGCTGCTCGACGACCTCCTGGCGCACTTCAAGCGCACCTACCCCGGCATCGAGTTCCCGCCCGTGCCCCCCAAGGGCGACCTCGACCTCAAGGAGATCATCAACAGCCCCTACTTCTTCCAGTAGTCTGCCACGAGTGAGGGCAGCAGGATCTTGTCGTTCGAAACATCAAAATAGCAAAAGGCCGTTCATCAGAAGCTGACTGAACATGACCGGGCGCGTTTCTATTTACAAGGGGGGTTGCAAATGATGCATCATGTAGAAGATATGTAGACGAAATGTAGAAGATATGTACAAGACTAAATAACAAACCAACCTGACGCAACGATTGGTCACGCGGAAGTTCAGGCTGACAGGTCCGAGTGGGCGTCGCACAGCTCCGGCGAACTCCTTCTTCGGCGGCGGTTGGTCGGTCAGCCACTCGTCCCCGCCGCGACCCTTCAGCGCTCGTCACACACACAGGCCTGGCATCGCCAAGCGAGGAGGGTCGACGCGTCGCACATGCGGACGGGGGTGGTGTAGAGTGTGAGCGTCGACGCAGCTCACGAGCTGGGCTGGGTGGTCGGGGCGTCCTCCATCAGCACCGCGTCCTCCACGCCGGCGTGATGATGGTGGCGGGTGAAGGGGTTGGTGGTCGGCTCGGCGGGAGTAGTAGAAGAAGAAGCGGCGGCAGAGTGCTGCTTGCAGAGGGAGAGCTGGGAGGCGAGGAGGGCGCACAGGCGGTCGTTGCTCCTGTGCTCCTCCCAGTCCCACTGGAGGAACACCACCGACCCGCGTCGCTGGCGCTTCAGTAGCTCGAGGGCCATCACGTCCATCACCATGGGCGCCGCGTGGCTCATTCGTCGCCGTCGAATGGCCGCGGCACAAGCCCCGCTCGGCGAGGACGTAGACGTAGAAGAAGGAGAGGAGGAGGCGAAGTTGTGGGTGCGGTCTACCGAGATGCTGGCTCGTCGTCCGCTGTTGGCTCGCCTGCTGTTCAGAGTCGCGGCGGCCGTCATGGCAGTCTCACGCCGGCTCGCGCTGGCGTTCGCTCTCTTCATTTCTACTTCCATGGCTGCTTTGTGTGACTGGTGGTCGTGCAGTTCAACGCGAACTCTTCACTTGTTGAGCTTCTTCCAGCGTCTGGTGTGGAACGGAGGAGTGTCTGGCAGAAAAGAAGCGGGGCAAGTCGAAGGAATGGTGAAGAGGATGACACCACTCTCCCTCAGCTCCGCTTCCTGGACAAGAGCTCCATTCTCCTCCACACATGGCAACCTCAAGTCCGGTATCTCTGGATGGCAGGTGGTCGCTCCGAAACTCCCTCCCGACACTTTTCCAGTGCCACGTCATCAAAGGTCAAAACGAGAAAATGGCAGATTTCTCTAATTTTTATTCAGACTTATTTCCGTAAATAAGTTTGGTAGTTTCTGTAATTTTGCCCCAATCTCCATCTCTGCAGAATTTAATCGTTCAAGATGGAGAAGAAGAAAGGTGGCAAGAACAAGAACGAAAAGGCCGAGAAGCCCAAGAAGGCCACGGAGGTGAAGACGGCGACGACAGAAGCGCCGGCGAATCCCAACAAGAAGAGGAAATGGGCGGACATTCAGCGGGAGCGAGTTCAGGCCAAGGCCTTGGCTGCCGCCAATGCCCTGGCCTCCTCGGCCACACAAACGGAAGCGGCCAACAGCAAAAAGGAGGAGAAGAAAGAGAAGAAGAAGGAGAAGAAGGAGGACAGCGCCACTCCGTCATCTTCTGCCGCCGCCACTCCGGAGGAGGCGAGCAAATCACCGGCTGGTGGCGATGAGAAAAATCAGAAAAAGAAGAAGAAGAGGAAGAGGAAGAAGCAAAAGAAGCAGCCCACCAAAACGGGGCCAGATGGCGAGGTCATTCAGGTACCAAAAAATCCTCCTCCATTTTTTTAACGATTTAAATCATGAAGATTAACAAACGCGCGCGGGCGAGTAGAAGGAGACCAAGGATGAGGCGAGCTTGACGTACTTGAAACTGTGGGACACCGATCGATCGCAGTGGAAGTTCCGCAAGCTCCTCCAAACCCACCTCCTCACCATCGCCTATGACGAATCCAAGGTACGCCCTGCGTTTTGTCGACCCAGCCATGGACATCGGGCCTGATGGCGATTGGTGATGTTGATGGTGTGGTGGTACGCAGGTGTCGAGGGAGTACTGGGCCATGTTCGTCCGCTACATCCTCGCCGTGCAGGGCAAAGCGCGACAGGTGCGTAGCTCTTACTTTGCGAGATCATCATCGCCCTTTGTTCTGTGTTGCACTCACCCCAGGCGCTTGCGCTCGCGCTCTCTGACCAAACCAGCAAACGTTGGAGGGCGCCAAGCGGATCGTGGCCGAGGGCGTACGCGTGACCGAAAACGAAGAGGAAGCCAAGCTGGTGCACCACCTCCCCCACCCACTTCTACTTCTCATACTACTACAACTCGCACACACGCACTGACGGTCGTTTGGTGCGCAGGCCACGACGCGACGCAATCGCGCCAAGACGCTGATCAAGGCCATGACGTCAGCCAGACCAGAATAAACCCCACAAAGGAAGGAAGGAAGGAACCCCTCCCTCAGTGGCCTCTATTCAAATATTGGTTGGCCAATCTTTATGCGAAGTTTCCATCGCCTGAAACCGCACTTGTAACCAATGGGAGTCATCGGATAGTTTTATGATCTACCACGCCATTGGCCCGTGCTGCTCGGCCGAATTTCCCGCTGCTTTGTCTCCGCCTACTGCAGCGGTAGTCTGCGGGTTGGTCCTCATCGACCTCCCCTCCCCACCTCCTCATAGCCTGCGGTCTTCCCTCTTTCTCTTTGGCCACACCCCACCATCATTAGACCATCGCCACCAACCACACAACACATCCACCACCACCATCGAAAACGAACGACGACACGAAGAACACGGAGAAAACAAGCAAGAGATGAAGGAGGAGGACCACGATGTGGTCACCATCATCGACGGCGATCTCAACAACGACGACAGCAGCAACAGCGCGGAAGAGGAGGAAGAATGTAGCGACTGGGTGCTGCTGGGCCTGTGCCTGCTCAATGCGTCGGCCTACCTGGGCATGATGCTGGCCAAGGCCTGGGCCGGCCTGTCCCACGACGCCACCGCGCTCGACTTCGCCTCGCCGCTCACGCCCGCCCCGTGGGTGGCCGCCCGCGTGTGGGACGCCATCACCCTCGCGCTCCTCCTAGTCTTCCTCCTGTGGCCCTTCCTCCCATGGCTCTCGCCGGCCCGCAAGCGCGACGTGGTCCGGGTCTCGCAGCCCTTTGTCCTGGCCTGCGCCAGCCACGCCATGTGGAGCGTGCTGTGGTCCTACGGCTTCCTGGCCCTGAGCGCCCTGCTGTCGGCCACGGTGTGCGTCCAGCTGATGGCCGCCAGCCTCGCGCTGGCCCGGTCGCCGCCGCTGTTCCGCCTGCCCTTCGGCCTCTGGCTCGGCTGGGAGGCCTTCGCCACGCTCAGTCAGGCTAGCGCGGCGCTCTACCACGAGGCGGGCCTGGCCTTCTTCGGCTCAGCGTGGTGGTCGGCGGCGGCCATGCTGTCGCTGACGGCCGTGGCCTACACGTGGGGCTCTATGGCCGACGACCCGTTCTTCTCGGCGGCCTTGGCGGCGGCCCTCTTCGGGGTGACCCAGCTGCACCACTCGCTCGTCGTCTCCCGCGTGGCCTACACCTGCTGCGTCGCCCTGACGGCCCACGCCCTCATCGTCTGCCTCACCAACTTCGATGCCGCTCGACGCGAGCAAGCGCCGGCCGATGGCGACGACGATGGCAGCGATGAAGATGCGTACGAATGCGAAGAAGCTGCCCTCCTGCTGGCTGCTGGCGACGAAGATGGAGGAGCGCAGCAGCATCAGCAGCAGCCTCGCCTCGCCTCCGCGCCTCTGCTGTCGCTGCCGATCGAAGACTCGCTGCCGCTATACCCGACCACCCTCTACGTCGCGCGGCCCCCGATGGCGGCCGCCGCCGAGGAGTTCGGGCAGTACCACCAGTACTACTACCCCAGCTACTCGGCCTACCATCATCCCGCCGCCGCCACAATCGAGCCTGCCCGACGAACCCGCCAGCTACGCCGGCCGAGTTCAACCCGAGCTTCCCCGCCTTCTTCCCCTATCCCTCTGCCCCACTCGCTCCCACCACGCAGTGAAGAAGCCTTCCTCCAGCATTGCATTCCACACACACCCACTTATCAATCAATATGTACATACCAGCATTCCGAACCAGCATTCTTAGCATACTTGTTGTTATGTTATTTGCACGGGTAGTGGAGGCGGACCAGGGTGGCGTAGCACTGCAGCCGGGGGTGATGCGGGAATGGGGCAGGACATGAGTGTGGGCGGGTTGAGAGGGCGCGCGCAGGGGGGTGGGGTAGAACCTCATCGCACACCCGCTGCGGGGTGGGGTCGGGCGAGAACGGCAGGAGCGAGCTGTACTGCGAGCACGTGTCGCAGAAGATCCCACCACAGTACCTGCAGTGGTGCTGTGGAGGGCGGGTTAGCGTTTATGTGACTCCAAACGTGTGAGTGGGTGGCAGGGGAGGAGGGCACCCGTCGCCAGAGGAGGCTGAACTCGGACTGGCACCGGGTGCAGTGGGTGGCCGCGTCGTCCCGCTCCCACTGAGGCGGCTCTGTCCTGAGCAGGCTCTCCTCCTCCTCCTCTTCATCCTCGCTTTCTACTTCCTCTTCGCCGCCGCCCGACCGGGCCTTGCGTTGCGCTTCCGCCCACACCTACGCGCGAACGCACCGCAGGTGTGAATGTCGGAAGTGTGTAGGGGCGTCGGGTGATATGACGAGCTGGGCAGTGTACCGCTGGCAGGGAGCTGGCGGGCGGGTGAACAGGCCGGAGGTGGTTTTCGTGCATGTAGCCGACCAACTGAGGGAAACAGAAAATTGTATTGTCAGTCGAAAACGATCACTGGGCGTGTGGCACGACGTGCGGTGTGCAGCCAGAGCAGTGCAAGCAACCAACCTGCTGTGGCACGTCCTTGAGCAGCTCAGCGGACAGTTCGGAGGGCGGCTGATCCGTGTACTCCGCCATGGCCACGAACTGTTGGTGGTCGAAAGATATGTGTGAGCAAACAAAAAAGTCACGCGGGGCCAAACGAACGTGGTGTGCGACTGTCACCTTGACGTTGGGGTGGCTCTCGCAGAGCAGGTCCATGTTCGTGAAGTCGGCGTCGCCCACGCCCACGATGAGAATGGAGAGGGGCAGCGCGCTGGCCTCCTCGATCTGCTGCACCGTCTCCTCCATGTCGTTGATGATCCCTGGGGTCCACAAACCACCGCCTCGCCTGAGCGCACGCCGACGCGGAGGCGGGGAGGTGGAGCTTACCGTCGGTGATGATGAGGAGGACCAGGTGCGACTGCCCGCCGCCTATGGGTCCGTTGGCGGCGTACGTGGCGGCCTTGTCGCCGATCTGGGCGAAGTGGGTCGGTCCGCGGAGCTTCACCTTCGTGAGCGCTCCCCGGTAGCACTCGAGCAGGCCCTCGACGCCCTTGGCCTCCGGCCTCTGGTCGTCGAACGTGAGCGCGAAGCAGTGGGACACGCTGTGTCCGAGTGGTATCTCTGCGCCATACCCAAACGCCTGTGTGTGTGGTGTGTGTGTGTGTGTGTGTGTGTGTGTGGTGTGTGTGTGGTGTGTGTTAGGAGAGAGCACCAATCGATGACAGGTGTGAGGCGGTGGTACGAGGATGTGCTTGGAGGCGCAGTAGTGGGAGAGGGGTTCTGCCACGGCGCGAACGGCCATTTCGTACTGGTTTGGACCACCGCCCACGTAGTGCAGGCTGCTTCTCTTCTCGGGATCGCTGCACGCAACATCGCACGAAGACAGGCGCGTGAGCTTGACCACGCACGGATGGGGCTGGTCGAAGAGGAGTACCCGTTGGAGGCCGTGAAGTCGATGGCCACCATCACCGATATCTCGCACCCGCCCGACACATAGTCGAGGAAGCTGCCAACACGTGAACACTCATCAGCGCAGGTCGGCGCCATAAAAGCATCATGGGCGAGGCAAGCCCCACGGAGGTGTGCGCACCTGTAACGCTTGATGAGGTGGTGGTGCAAAAGGTTGACGGCTCCGGCATCGGCTCCGTCAGAGGTGCGAAGCTTAAAGGCATGGTCCTTGTCGGCCTTGTCGGCCTTGAAGAATTCCGAGGCATTCACCTGAACGTGTGTGTGTGTGTGTATGTGTGTGTGTGTGTGTGTGTGTGAGCGCCGCCTGCCGGGGACACCCTCGATCAAGAGTGATGACAGTACCTGGCAGTGGCCGATGGAGTACGGTCCCGTGAAGGGGGAATTGAGCAAACAGTCCAGGCGCAACTGCTCTTCGGCGTGGCCAAACAGGTGCTTGACCGGCACTTGCATCGGGCGCCTGCACATGGCACACGGAGGGATTGCATTGGCCAACCAACGCAAACGGACAACAAGTGTGTGGGGATGTCGGGATGTGCACTCACCAAATGGGTTCGGTGGTGCCCAGGACGGTCCCGAAGACGAATTCGGTCCGGCCCACCTGCTGCCACCCGGTCGCCCGGTCGTTCAAGGCCGAGATCGCCAGCGCCGCATCTGTGGATGCCCGGACATTAGCGCCGCTCGAGCCGGTGTACATGTCCCACCAGCTGGCCCGGGCCACGTACCGCCGGCCTTGGGCAGTCCCCGCGCTCGCATGTAGAGACACGCGATGTCCCGCGTGTTGCTCATCTCTTCGCCCTGGATCTCTAGCGTGCCTGCCCTCACACCAGTACCCTCACGTCTGTCGCGGCAGAGGTTATTAAAACCGTCGATGCGGCTCAGGCTCAGGATCATGCGGGCGCGGTCACGTACGTGAGTGGCAGGGACAGGCGCATGCCGCGCGTGGAGAGGAGGGCAGGCAGATCGAGCTGGGCCTCACAGTTGTTGTTGGTCGCGGTGGTTCGTTTGCCTCCCGCCCCACGACACCGCCCGATGATGAACTTGAGCTGCTTGGGCGAGTGGAAGCAGTGCTCCACCTCCACGACGGTGAACCTCACCCCGTTCTGTCGATCGGCTTCAGTACCGCTCCTACATCCCAGAATCGGCCCAGCCGAAGTTATAGTAGGTTGGTGATTGCAGGCACTAGTTCATTGCACAGAGCAGGGCCGACGTACGGGAGAGGCTCGTGGACGCTGCTGGCGATTTCTCGCCAGGTGGAGGTCTTTGGCTCACTCGACTTGCGCCAGACCTTGAGCTGCAGGCTGCCCCTCACTTCTTCATCCAGCCTTGGGTGTAGTGGCGTCATTGGGGGGGGGGCAGACAGTAAGTACTAGCACTACTACTGGGTGTGGAAAATGCTGCGTCTTACCGACATGTGAGGGTGAGTCCAACGGTGGTCGCGTGGCTGCTGTGCTGGTGTCCCTCCTCCATCTTGGGGCCAGTTTGTGCTTTGTTGAGGCGCCGAAATTTCGTGAACGCCAGAAGAAGCTGGGAAATGTACAAAAGGAAAATATAAGATGTGAATTTGATCGGTTTGCTCTCTCTTCATTTCCACCCCCGCAATCCGCAGCAAGCCACAAAATGGGGTCCATGGAGAGAGGAGTACGTACCCTATTCAACCTTCTCCTCACGTTATCGAATCGTGCTCACCCCCCCCCCGGCCGTAATTTGATTGATAATTTGATCGATTCTCGAACTGCAATCTAATGCTCATTACACTGATTTGCTCCTTGTCTCTATAGGCCAAGACGGGATCGGGAGGCATCGCTTCCGAGTCGCAGGCCAATGCCGACCGAAGGGAGCGGCAGAGGCGGTTGGCGATGGAAGTCATCGATCTGGCCAAGGATCCCTACTTCATGAAGAACCATCTGGGCCAGTACGAGTGCCGCCTCTGCCTGACTCTCCACTTGACCGAGGGCAACTACCTGGCCCACACCCAGGGCAAGCGGCATCAGGACAACCTGGGCCGGCGTGCCGCTCGCGAGGCCAAGATGGCCGAAGGCGGGCCGCTCGGTGCTGCGGGCGTGCAGCCGGCCATCCAGAAGAAGGTGATGCCGCGCAGGACGATCAAGATCGGTCGGCCAGGGTACAAGGTCACGAAGCAGATCGACCCCACGTCGGGCCAGAAGAGCCTCACCTTCGAGATCAAGTACCCCGACATCGGCGAGGGCATCCAGCCGCGCCACCGGTTCATGTCGTCCTTCGAGCAGAAGGTGGAGACGCCCGACCGCAACTTCCAGTACCTCCTGTTCGCGGCCGAGCCCTACGAGACCATCGCCTTCAAGATCCCCAACTGGGAGATCGAGCGTGGTGGCGGTGGCGAGGAGTCCAAGTTCTACACCAACTGGGACAGAGACTCACTCACGTTCACGGTTCGTTCTAACCACACACTCCTACCTTTTCTGCCGAGTGCTGAGTGTTGTGTGCGGTGGCCTCCGCAAGGACGATGTGCTGAGTGTTGTGCTCACTTGCGTGCGTGCAATCCACGTGGTGGCATCGACAGGTCCAATTCTCGTTCCACAACAACGTGTCAACGGCGTAGTCATCTGGCGTTGTACAGTCCTCTCCCCATCTCATTCTTCCTTCAACAATACACCTCTTGCCCCACCAACACGTCTGTCTGCATTGAACGAGGTGGAGCCTTGGCCGTGCTGCTGCGGCCCACAAGAAAAAAAACGGAAATAATAAAATAAAATAACAGATAAAAACAAAAGATGAGCAGGGTGGGTGTCTCAGCGAAGGCAGCGCGCACGGAGGCCCTGCGACTGTACCGAGACGTGCTGCGGGCATGCCGCCTTTTCGACACCACCCGCAATGAGCAGGGGCAACTCATGTGCACAAGCCCCCCCCCCCAAGAACACACTGGTCTGTGCCGCGCTGACGCCGGAAGGGACTGGGCGTGTGCAGGAGCGACGTGCTGCGCACAAGTGCCCGGAAGGAGTTCGAGGGCGCACGCGAGGAGCGTGACCCCGAGACGGTGGCGCGCATGATCATCACCGGTCGCGACTGCGTCATGCAGATACACGACATGGTACGTCCCACACGCGCCACTCGCGCACTGGTGGTGGGCGACGTGCCACTGCCTGACTAAACCGACTCGCACACGCACAGGTGGCAAAGAGGCAGCATGAGCTCATGACCGGAGAGAAGGAGCCACCAGCCACGCAGTGACGGGAGAGCACGGCATGTGTTGCAAAGCGAGCTATTGGCCTTGTGGCTCGGGCGGAACGGAGCCATGGAGAATGGACTCGTCATAAAGCGGATGGGCTGGTGGTCGTACGCCCTGCTTCATCAGCCACAGCACGTAGTCCTCCTCCCAGTTCCGTATCTGAGAAAAATGGGGGCAGACACACCATCAACATGACAGGACAGGAGAAGAACCTCACACTACCGAAGCTGAGTAAGGCGCACCGCTTTCACGACGGCGGGGTCGCCGGTGGAGGTGAGGAGCGAGGTGTGGACAGTGAGCATGCCGTGCAGGTTGCCGAAGAGGATGTCGGTGAAGTAGCGGTCGCCCACCATGGCCAGCTGCGAGGGCGCCGTGACAGTCGTTGATGGCGACGAGGAGGGAGAGGAAAGGGCCGCAAAGTGCTGCATGACACTGTCGAACCCGAGCGGCTTCTTGTGTGCGTGGCGGAGGACCGGCAGGCCCAGTGTGCGCTCGATCCTGTGGGCCTCCTCGTAGCCTGCATCGTCGCCCGACCCCGCCGAGTTGGAGAACACCACCAGGCCATCGCGCCCGAACACGTCGAGGCACTGCCGCAACGCGTCCTGCAGGGACCCACACGTTCGAGCTCACGAAGTGCACATGAAAAAGAAGAAAAGAAGATGGAAGAGGAGTAGTGGTGGTACGGCGAGGGTCGGGAAGACGCTGGGCGCATAGGGGGCGGTCAGGGTGTTGTCTTTGTCGAAGACCACGCCCCGGCAGCCGCGGGCCTTGAGGGCGGCCCAATTGATCGAGCGTATGTCGGGCACGCGGAAGTGGGGCACCACCAACCCGCGCTGCATTGCCACACTCCGTAGCGCCCAGTACACCCCAGCCCAGTTCCAACTCTGCACCATCTTGTCTTGCTTCTCAAAAAGAAATTCTCTTCTAGAAATAAAATGATAACAAATCCAAAGCTTGTTTGCCCAAACGCAAACTCTGTTTCGTATTTTTTAAAACGCGGTTTTTTTGTACAAGGGCTCAAGTGTGGAAGGCGAGGCAGGTGGTGTGGTCGAGCTTGCCCGGAAAGGCCCGGTAGTCGCACGGTTGGCGCTTTTCGGGGTTCTGCTCCATGAAGTTGCGTGTGTGCAGGGTCTGCTCCACACACAGGCTGATCAGCTTGCGCGTCACGTCCGCCGGGCTGAGCACGATCGGCTGGCGGCCAGCTACGCGCTCGCCGTCGGTGGTGGGCCGCTTGGTGCCCGAGATCGCTAGGCGCGACAGCTCCGGCAGCGCTGGCGCTGGCTCCTGGGGGCACCCACTGGCGTCGTCGACCACCTCTCTCTCAGTCTCGGGCGCCGACACGTCGGGAACGGCGAGGTAGTTGTCGCGGCCGTGATCGCTCAGCACCACCACGGGCGCGTTTTCCCAGCTTCGCTGGCCGCGGCTCATCGTCTCGTAGAAGATCTGGGTGGAGCTGGGCTCCTGCAGCATCTGGGTCAGCGTGGAGAGGGAGGGTCGCAGCTGCTCGTCGACCTGCTGCTTCTGGGCCTCGCCGCGAGGCGAGGGCTGCCGGTGAAACCCTGATTGTGGAGGTGACCGCGCCGGCGACGGCAAGAGCGGCGGCGGTGGAGAAAGTAACTCATGCTCGAGCGCACGAACGGCAAACTCGTTCTTGAGGCGCGCTGCCGTTTCCGGGGCGAGGTCGTCCCACGTAACTGATTCCTGGTCGGGTCAAGTGAAGGAGCACATCGTGAGAAGGTCGGACCACACACACGGACAGGATGGTGGTGGAGCTGAACCTGTTGTTCATCAAGGTCGTGAGGCATAAGGCCCAGCATCTGAGGGTCGAAGTTGTCGTGGACGCCATCACTGACCGCCCACACGCAGTCGCCCTCGTCACACTCGGCAAAATAGAGATCGAGATTTCTCAGGTCGGGGTCGGACGATTCCATGCCCGACGCCGGGCCCAGACGTCCGCCGCAGTCGTTGACCGACGTCGCGTTCTGCCTGTGCGCGTCCAAAAGGAGTGAGGCGCGTGTCGTGCGGCGTGTGCGGTGTGTGTCGTGTGTGCGTGTGCGGTGTGTCGTGTCATACGAACCTGTTGCCTTCCGTGAGGTCCTTGATTGTGCCGCTGGCATGGGAGTACAGGTACACCTTGCAGTCGCCGATCGAAACGACCAACAGACCTTTCCTCCGCCGCTTCCTGCTGTCGGGACCCCCATCGGCATCGGAGTTACGGCGGGGCGAAGTGTGCTTCGTCCCGGGCCTCTTGTCGGTGGTGAACAGCAGCGCCGACCGCTTGCTGATGGCCGGGTCATCGACCGTCTGCAGCAGCGTCGCGCAGGGTAGATGAGCAAACAACGTACAACGCGCCAAACCAGCAGACCTCAAGAAGGCGTGTTGCTGCGGAGCGTACCAAAGGGGAATTGGGAGCGCTCAGGTCCAGATCAACGACGAGACCTGCGCACACCGTGGTCGTACCACACTCCCACGGTTCCCTGAAGCCCGCAGGGAGGAATGGTTAGCCTGCTGTTCGCCGGCACATGTGTGAAGCGCTGTGGTGTGGGTCACGTACTTGCCGGAGATTATGTTGTTGTGGGCCTTGGCCACGAGCTGCATCAAACACTCGGCAGCCTGTCGAATGGACCGCTTGCTGTCTTCGTCGTTGGTGTTGGCACCCACGCCCATCATTTCCATGACCCGGTGCGCTCCTCTCCTCACCTTCCCCTTCCCTTTCGCCGCACTGCTCGCATCGCTCCGTGACCGCCCCCGCAGCGCGTCGTCGATATAGAGCCCCGTGCTGCGCTCTGCGCTTGGCTGCAGAAGGAATAGCAAGAAAGCAGGGGAACGAGTCAGCATGAGACTTAAAGAAGGAAAAAGGGGGCGGCAGGTACCTGGCTCGTTGGTTTGAGTTCCCTCCTCGACGATTGCTTCACGATCAGCGAGTGCTGGTGCAGGCTCTGCATGAACACGGCCCGCACCGACCGCGCCGCGTCGACTGCTGCTCGACCCCAGCCGCACCCATCGCACACGCAGAAGATCGCCCCATTTCGGTAGAGCCGCAACGCAAAGCAGTCGCACACAGGATCACCTGCACAAACCCAAGGCGAATCGGGATGTAGCTCAGGTGAGTGCACGACTCACCGAGGTCGCATCACCCACTGCGTACCGAGTCGCGTCCCAGGCATGACAAGCACGCGGGGGTAGGTCGACACTGACTGTCCGCACGCCCGCACCGTGCCATCTCTGCCTAAATCGCGCTCTTCGCCCGATTCGCCGATGGCGTCGCTGTCTCGGCTGTGCGAGCCAGAGCAGCCACCTGCAGCGTAGGGCAGGGCCACCTCGGCCTCGCTGTCGTCCGGCCCCTCCATGTAACACGGGGCAGCTGTATCGTCGCCGGTCGGTTCGCCCTCCTCCAGAGGCTTGAAGTAGACATCGGCGGGGAGGCGGTCGAGCGTGCGCCGCATCAGGTCGTGCGGTATAACAAAGTGGTGGGGGTTGGCGGCCGTGGGCTGTTCGCTGCCGCTGCTATCCTTGCGCCGCTCCGCATTGCGGCCCCACGCGCGGCCCCACGAGCTCGTGTTCCGCTGCTCGCCCTCGTCGAGCGAACCCGGCTTGAACTGGCTGCTGTGGAAGCGGTCCGGCGGAGGAGCGAGGGTCTTGGGTGGCGATGACGCCGTGTCGGGCGCCTTGTCCTTCTTGCGCCCGAATCGCTTGAACATGTCATAGGAGGTGCGCGGCGATACGGGCTGTGATGGCTTGGACTTCGCGTCCTTACGAGCCCCCTGCGGTGATCACACGTGTGGTCGAGTGTGGTGTCACCAGAGCGCTCCTCTCATCACTCACCGGCCCGCTCCGCGGGACAAAGAGAGCGTTGTGGTGTGGGAGCGAACCTTGCGGCTGCGGCGCGTCGTCTCGGGAGTGCTGTCGAGGCTGATACTGCTGGTGGACTCACTCGACTCGGGCGTGAAGCTCTTTTGCTTGCTCGGTTTGGACTTGGCCTGGGCAGTGGCGGTGGTGGCGTTGAGGTCCTCCACCGGCAGCATGTCGAGCGACCTGGACAAGCGGTTGTTCTTGAGCGCGGCCAGGAGCGGCGTGCGGATCCGCTTCGGCTTGGGCTCTTCCAGCTCCTCGACCCGCATACTCGTCGTCACGACTTGTGGCAGCACAGGTGGTGGCGGTAGTGGGCCCTTGGCCTGTGGAGAAGAATGTTGTAGACAACATCGTTCAGCGGTACACAGGGGTCAGACATCCGCGGGGGGGAGCGAGGGTTACCTTGCTTTCGGCTGCACGGGTCCTGAAGAGCTCCCATTCAAGGTCCATGGCGCGATTTGTCTCCAATCTTCGCCAAAAGCTCCTTGCCTCCTGACCGTACTGCTCTCACCGGTGGAGGGGTCTCAAGTTGTTTGCCCTCCGTCGAGGCAACCCGTGTTGCCTGGGCTCAAGATGGGTTGTGGCCTTCTCCATCTTTGGTGTGGATGTGCGGATAAGGGAGGGGCCACTCTAATTGAGCACCTTTCATTTCTTTATTTCTTTTTCGCGAGAACAATTTAATTATTCTTTATTGTCAGGCAAAGATGGAGGGCGTTTCAGCGCCCATGCGCGTGACCCACGTGAGTGGTGCCGGCGCAGCTGCTGTACGTTTATCCTTCACCACAAGATTATCTGCATACTGCTAAATGCAAGTCACATTGGGGGCGGGGCGGAAATGCAAATGCGCAGCTGCAGAATGCTGCACCAGGGGGCAACTCGCCCACGGTGGTCGCCCCCATAAAGCAGGGGTTCCTGCACAAGCGCGGCAAGAAGCCCTACATCAAGACACTCAAGCTGCGGTGGTTCGTGCTGGAGGACAACACGCTCACCTACCACAAGAAGCCAGGCGCGCCCGCCCTGGGCACCATCCCCATGGCCGAGGTGGTGAGCATCGGCCCCTCGGACCCGTCGCCCGCCAACCCGTTCCTTTTCGAGCTGGTACGCGACAACGGCGGCTCCCAGCGCACCTACTACCTCCACGCGCGCTCCCTGCCGGAGATGGAGGAGTGGATGGAGGCCCTCCGTCGCTCCAGCGCCTTCCACGCACCCTCGGCCTCGCCCGCCGTCGCGCTCGCCGCTGCGTCGGCCCTCAGCGCTGCCCTCAGCTCCGCCTCCGCCTCCTCCACTCCCGCTTCTGCTTCCTCTTCTGTCCCGATCGCCGCCGCCTCGGTGGTGGCACCCGCGGCCTCGTCCAATGTGCCCTCACCGGCGCAGCCGTCGCCCACCACCGCCACCGTGTTCTCCGATTTTGACTTGAGCAAGTCGTCGGGCGGGCCGGCCTTGCTGCGCACCTCGTCGTCGAGCTCCACCTCGTCATCGTCGTCGTCGCCCACCAACTCGGACCGATTCGGCTCCACGCCGGTCCTGCGCGAATCTGAGCTGATGCAGCGGTACCAGACACGCGAACTCGAAGTCAAAGGTGACCTCAATGCTCTCTCTCTCCTCTCGTGTGTGTGTGTGTGTGTGTTCAAGTCTCAATGTGTCGCGTGGTCGTTGCTCGGTGGCTCGCTCGCTCTGCTCTCAGAGTTGGAGAAGGCGTTCCGGGAGACCAAGGAAGCGTTGGATGCCGAAAAGCGCAAGGCCCTGTTCATCATGGAGAAGGAGCAGAAGAACATCAAGCAGCTCCAACAGGAGAGGAACTCGCTCAAAGCGCAACTCCGGCAACTGGAGCAGACCCTTGCCGAGCGCGAGCCCGTGGGCACGGACGCCTCCGGGGCGCCGGTGTATTCGAGCCGAGACGAAGAGGTGAGCCGACTGCGGGAGGAGATGCGAGAGAAGCAGGAGGCCCTCGACACCATGAAGAAGGACCTGGAGACCTTCTCCAAGATGCAACGCCTCATCGACCAGTCCGGCGACTCCAGCGATCCGGCGCAGGTCCTCGCGCCTCCGCCTTTCCTATGCTTCGCTTCGCTGGTGTCCTGACGCGCGCTCAACGTGGTTGACGTGTGGTGATGCGAATTGGCCAGGCGATCGATATGATGAAGCTGCAGATGGCGGAGATGAAGGAGCTGCTGGAGGGCAAGGTCCACGAGCTGCAGGCCAAGCTGGCCGAGGAGAAGAAGAAGTCCGACAGCGATGTCGCCCAGTGGAAGGCCATGGCCCAGAAGGAGCTCAAGACCCGCCTTCAGGTCCGGTGGATACCTCCTTCTTGCCTGCAACTGCGCCTTAATCTCACCTGGCCACACACACACCCGACACAATCCAGCTCGAGTCGGAGAAGGCGGCGCTGCAGAAGGAGCTGCAGGAGGTCAAGCGACAGAGCCAGATCCTGTCGGCTGGGCGCGTGGAGCAGATGCAGTTGGACGAGTCGTCGCCGCCGGCCTCATCGCCGTCGAGCCAGAGGAGCTCCGGCAAGTGGCGGAGCGACCCGCGGCCCAGCCACTCCTCACGTCACTCGCAGGCCGCCTTCCGGGAGCCGCTGTTGGTGGACGACGGCGAGCCCGAGGGCGACGGTGACGTCAGCATTTGGACGCCCAGCAAGGCCGGCGCCGGCCAGGTCTCCTCCACCTGCTTCAACTGTACCCTACAATGACCCTCCTCCCGGACCACACAACACATAATTTTGGTTATTTATTTTTTATTTGTTATTTGTTATTTGTCAATAAATAAATAATGAATATTGAGTTCGTTGCTTCCCCGAAGACCTTCTGCAGTCTTTCCTTCTGGTCGAGCCTCACCCCAAATTAAAACATGGGTGATCAACAAGAAGACAAGAAGCAGATGGAGTCTGTGCGGATGTGGCGGGGGCGGGAGAGGGCGTGTGTGCGGGAGACCCGGCAGGAGGAGTGGTACCAGGCGCAGGGACAGCAGCATCGGGCAGGGGTGGGCGGGCGCGGCCTGCAGGAGCAGTGCGTGGAGGTGGTCAAGCGTGACGTCACCCGGCACCTGGCCCTTCTGCCCGACCTGCCGGCCGAAGTGCGCGAGCGGCTGCTGGCCGCCTTCATCCAGGGGCGCCTCCTCGACGCCCGGCTCCTCCAGCTCTGCATACAAAACGGTTGGCCCGCCAGCTCGACCTCCTGCTCGATACGGTCAGCCGCCAGCTCACAACTACTTCTCCCCTCCCCACTCTCACAGGACTGTACAGTCTGGACTTGACCAAGGCGACACGCTTCGGCATGGCTTCGGTCGCTGCCGTGCTTCAATAGTACGCACTCATGTCGTGTGGCGTGTGGCGTGTGGCGTGTGGCGTGTGTCGCGTGTCGCGTGTCGCGTTGTGTGTCGTGTGCTTACGATGATCGGCGAGGTGGCCAACAGTTGTCCGCAGATCCACACGCTCAACCTCACGGACTGCCTCTACATCGGCACGGACGAGACGGTCCGCCTGGTGCGCGGCCTGCCCAACCTGCGTACCCTGATCCTCGACGGACTCGAGGTCGAGACGCAGGACCTCGCCGCCATCCTGTGCGGCCTCACCACCGAGCTCAGAAGCCTGAGCCTGCGGGACTGCACGGTGGTCGGGACCCGCAGATACGAAGGGGCCGACCCGTTCGCCGGCCTGCAGCGGCTCTCCCACCTGGCGGGCCTGTGGCTCTCCAACCTGTCGACCGCGCGCGACTACGGTGAGCTGACCTACAGCTACAAACTGCCCGCCCAGACCGTCGACCGGTTCCTCGACGCCGCGGCCAGCTCCCTGCGCTGCCTGGACCTCTCAAGGACGAACGTCGAATACGCCCCCGACCTCAAAGAGCTCGACTACTCCAAAGGTGGTCATGACACCCCCCAACTTAATTCTTCATCGCGCTGCCTGGCTGACCGAGCACGTTGTGCGTTGTGCGCGATATGCGACTGCTCTGTGGTATTGTACAGCCACTGGACTGGAGGCCCTGTATTTGGCCGGCACAAGGTTGGGGAGCGGGTTCAAGTCGACCACGCTGGCCACCATCGGCCGCAACTTGCACCACCTTTCGCTCGCCAGTTGTGGCGTCACGTACGCCCCACACGACACGCGGCACACGACGCACGACACACGACACAGTTTCGACTTAACATCAATGTCGGTCAGGACCACCTCTTGGCTGGCGGACGAGTACCTCCGCGATTTGATCTCGTTGGTGCCCCATCTCGTCCATCTAGACCTGGGGTATTCTGCCGACATGTCCAACGCGACTCTGCGACACATCGGTCAGTGTTGCTCGAACCTCCGCTTCCTCAACATCCGCCACTGCCGCGGCCACCTCGAACCCTCTGCCTTCTTCCTCGGTTCGTTTTGCGTTTGCGTTTGCGTTTGCGTTTGCGTTTGCGTTTGCGTTTGCGTTTGCGTTTGCGTTTGCGTTTGCGTTTGCGTTGTCTCATCTTTCGTTGTGGCGGAGCACAGGGGAGGAGTGCGTGTTCGCGGTGCTGGAGGAGTTGGACATCTTCGGGTGCCTGCAGTTGTCGCACCGGCTGGAGCTCATCAACTACCAACACGACCGCTTGCCCAGCCCGTGGATGGCCGCCCTCCCCTCGCTGGAGCGGCTGTGCGTCGCCTGGAGCGCGGACGAGCTGGCCGACGCCCTCGACCAGAACCCCGCCCTCCGGCGTCTCGCCATCCGACTGCTGTGACAAAGAACGAAGCGAAAGAACGAAGAAGTGGTCGCGCCCTGTATTGAGGCAAAGAGAGAACGAGACAATGATCAATTGTTGAGGCTGGTCAGATCGCTGGGGAGGTCCATGGCCAGGCTGAGGGCGGTGAGCTCGCTCAGGGTCGACGGCTCGTTGGCAGTGGAGCGCTTGACCCACAAGGTGGCCTTCTGCGCCAGCAAGCGCCACTCGTCGCGCTTGTCGTCGAACACCCGCTCGAGCACCGCCAGGGCCACCAGTGTCGCCCACAGGAGCGACACCGTCTCCTGATGTGCCTAAACAATAACAATGACACCATCAGCGGGAGTGTGTGTGTGTTGTGTTGTGTGTGGAATGAAACAGGGGCGTACATCAGTGGCAATTAGGGCGGGCAGAGGCAAGGAGATCTTGAGGAAGTCCTCCATGGCCTCGAGGGTCCAGGTGCCGTTCGCTCGCTGCAGCAGCACCAGCTTCTCCAAGGCCGCCGCTCTTGCCTTACCGCTGTCAGTGACGTACGTCACAGCCGCTCCCGTTGATGACGATGCAGGTGATGATGACGATGACGATGACGATGATGACGATGATGAAAAGGACGACGACGACGACCACGTCGACCCCTGCGAAGGACCTGAGTTCGTTGCGGACAAGGACTTGAAGGGCGACGAAACCGCAGCCGCGAGGCCAGAGAAGAACGAGCCCACCCCCGAAGAACTGAGGCCTGCGAAGCGAGAAAAGAACTGGTGGTGAATCAGGGCTCTCAGACAGAAGAGAAGAACCAAGCACGTACTTTTTGCGGACCCCATGAAGTTCCTCGCCTCCACCAGCTCTGTCTGTGGAGGTGTGGGGTGAGTCCGGCATGATCGCGGAAGGCCGAATAGAACGAACTGCCGGGTTTTCTCTTCAGAGAGGGAGCCAGCTGGTCCGTACCTGAGCATCGATGCGGTCAAGCAGGCATGATTGTGTGTCCACCTCAGCCGCAATGGAGACTGCCATTTGTGTGATTAGTTCCATCTGTTGTTGCAGCTGTTCCAAAACAGCGCCATTGTCCTGCAGTGGCTGCTGGTATGAGTCCCTGTGTCGCGCAGATTGCATTCAGTTAACTTTCAATCGAGGGTGGAGGTTCCCCCCATCTTTTGTTTGAGATCATCCAGAAGGCGCCACGTACCAAGCTTGGATTGGGCTGTGGCCAGAGGTCGAGTTTCTCGTCTTGCGGGCACTCCCTCCGCGCGCCTCGTACTTCCGCATCGTCCCTACATTCATGGTTCGTCTGGTCAGGCACAAGCGGACACCTGCGATCGACCCACTGGGAGCATTTGGGGGGAGGGGGCAGAAGTCGGGTACCGAGAGTGGCGCGATCCCTCTCCTCGATCGCCACGAAGGAGGTCTGCGAGGTGGCGAGAGAGTAGGCCAGGCCCAGGTTCTTGCAGTGCACGTCGTTGCCCCTCAAACCGCTGGCAGCGGGGAGGGTCGTGAGATGGACACACGAAATCAGCAAGGAGTGGGGGAGAACAGAAGAAAGCGCGAACCTGATGAGTGAAATGGCAGCCAGCTGGTGTAGCGTGCACCCCGTGGTCGTGTGGTCGGCATCGATGAAGAGCTCAAAAGCCAGTGCCTCGCCGGTCGGACCCACACCGGTCAGCTCCGCCTTAGCGAGCTGGTGGTCTTCCGACCATTCCCCTCGGAGACTGGAGAGCGCGTAGAGCACCAGCCTTTCACCTACGACCGTGGGCGCGAACCCGACCTCGCGGAGGTCAGTGTCGTGTGTGTGTGTGTGTGTGGTTTTGTGTGAAGGGGATACCAGAGAAGATAGGGCGAATGGTGCGTGACGTGCAGCGCCAGTGCTTGTCCGAGCCGTCTCGGGATATCAGCCGGAGCTTGGCGTTCGTCATCGCGGGCTCGAGCGCTTTCTGAAGCTGCCGCATCACGTGCACCTTCATGTGCTCCACCTCGCTCACGAACTCCATCGCCCCGCGTCCGCACAAGGCCAGCTCTGGAACCCCAATTCGGTCGTCAGCGATCAGTACCGGTGGTTCGACAGTCAGTCACTGACTGTAAAAAAAATCAATGCGCGCCCGCACCCGTCCGTACCGTGAAGCATGTTCTTGTCTGCCTCGTTGCCGATGGCAAACGTGAAGATGCGGGTGGTGCCTGCCTGCTCACGCACCAGCTGGATGACCTCCTCGGCATTCAGGACTTCGCCATCGGTCAACCTATTTGAGAGAGAAAGGAGAGGGGGGGAGGCGTTCTCGTGAGCCATACATGGGCGAGAGCAATTCTTTCATGCGAAAAAGAGTGAAGCGAGAGGGAAGAAAGAGAGGGCGGTCGGTGGTAGGGGTACAGAAATATCTGTCGCGATAAGCCCTCGTGCTCGCGCTGTCTGAGAACGTGCTGCAGAGGCTTGAGCAGGTCGGTGCCGCCCATATCGGCGCTCATGGCATTGACATGGGCGTCCGCGCGCATAAGACTCTGCTCATCGTACTCCACGCTCGAGGCGAACTGACTCGAGAATTTGCTGCCGAAGCTGAAGATGTTGAACCTGTGCGCGCAATGCTGGTGAGCTTGTACGAGTGGGCGTCGATCACTTATTCTGGTTGATGGTGCTTACCGAACTCCTTCGGGCAAGCTCCGCAGGAAGAGCTGCAGCGTTGCTTTGGCGATATCCATTCGCGAGCCGGCCATGCTTCCCGATCTGGTGTCACAGTTCAAGAAGGAGCAGTCAGTCAGCGGCCTATAACGTCTGCAAAAAGGCTCCACTGTGGCCCACAACCGAACCTGTCGACGAGAAAGATGAGCTCGGTTTGGTGCTTGACGAGGTCAGGGTCGACCTCCCAGCGCGGATGAAACGTCATCATGGCCGCTTGCGGATGGGTCAGATCTTATCGATCGGTAGAACATAGTCATAGTCATGGGTGTCAGTCAGCATCGCGCCATTGCGGTTCATTCAGCCAGCGTCGCATTAATGCGGCCGTAGTGCACCTTCATGTTTGTTCTGTCCGCGGCTAGGCTCATAAATCTCGACCACCGCGTTGGGCTCGTGTGGTGAGTGAGGGCTGACTTCGAACACCACATCGCCACGAAGACCTCTCGTGGAAGTAAGGTACGCTCTGGCCCGACCGCCATCTAAATACACGAAAGTTACGCGGACTTAGTTGGCCAGTCGCATAGCGTGGAACGAAGGTCGGTGGTGTGAGGGCAGACCTAGAAGGACTTCGCATTCTGGGTGGGTCGGGCAGGTCACGCTCTTGATCCCGCCGGGAGTGGTCTGGCGAATGTCGAGCGCCAGCGAGAAGTCGGCGCAGCTCGCAGGCACCAGGCCGTGGCTTAGCGCAAACTGGAGGTCACCGCTGACCAGCGGCGTGAGCTGTTGCACACACCGCAAGGTGACTGTGTGGACACACCAAAGTCGCGATCAACTGATGTTCACTGTCATCTGGCGGTGGTGCCTAGTCGGCGACGTACTGGTAGCAGTCTGGCCTGCCGGGAGGTTGCCGATGGACATGCGGTAGCCCACACCCTTCACCGTTTCCACGAGATAGGCGCCGTGCCCGCTGCTGATGGCGTCATCTACAACAACAGAGCCACGACAGAGCCCAGAGTGTGAGCCACACGCAGGCGGTTTTCAGGTACAGAGGAGGTACGGTAGTACTACCATATGTGGCGATGGCCTCCTGCTTGGGCTGCACCTCGGCAACGACGCGGGTGTCGCCGATCTCAACCTCGACGCCACACACCACCAGCGGACACGAGTACGTCGCCACGCCGGTGGCCAGCTCTTCCACGGGGAACGTGTAGACGCACTCCAGCCCTCCGGTCTCGTCGTTGTCGGCAGGGGCCGCGGCCGCATCGTTGAAAAAGACCTGGGTGATGGTGAGGCGGGCGCACATGTCCACCAGGTCGCCCTCTACGCTCAGTCGCTGCAGAGGCAGCCCGTCGGCCCGCCCTTTGGCGAGCAGGTTGAGTGAAGTCTTGGGTTGGTAGGGCCGAAACAGGC